CTTCTAAATTCCACCTATACACACATACATATGTACATATATATAGCTACAAATAAATTCTTCAAGTTCAATGTCATAGCAGAATGAAAAAAATTAAATGTTAATGCAATGATAATGCCTTTTGCCCACGAGTAATGTGATGATGATGCTGCTGATGATGATGATGATGAGAGACTTCGGTATGATGAACTGCGTGCAAATTAGATTTCATTTGATTCGACTTGATTTCGTACGTTGCTTAAAACGCACGATAAGCCCGGCATTTGCCTCATGGAGTGGTGTGAAGGCTGCTGAGCTTTTGCCTATGAGCGTATGTAGAGTGTGTGCCAGAAACTCTAACCTTGACATCAATTAAAGTGTCAATGATCCGACTAAACGTACTAAAAGTTCTACCCATACAAAAACACATGTGTATGTGCGTGTGCGTGTGTGTGTGTGTGTGGGCGCAGGAGCGGCTTGACAATGCACTTGAGTGTCATTAGCAATGCCACCATAATCATTGAATTAATAACTTTAAGAATTTTTTCTTACGTATTCAAAAATTTCACAAGCACATACACTTTGACACTCTACTTGTATGTATGTATATTATACTCCTGTATATGTTTGTGTCGCTTGTTGCGTTTTTCTCTGCATTAACTACATGTTTTATGGGCGCTATAAAAACCAACAGTAACAACAACACAACAACAAAAAACGCGCAAGGCTGCTTTCACTTAATCAATTGCAATTGTCAACAGCTTGTGAAATTCTGCTGATTACTTTTGACGAGCATTAAGTATTTGCTGCGGTCAAGGAACTTGCATGCATATTTCGTTCTGTTTGCCTTCCTTTTTGCTCGAAAAAATTGCAATCTATTTAATACGCAGATCTGTGTTTGCGGCTCATCATCAGAAGCAGATTGGACAAATGAGAGAAATTACCAATCCATTAATTATTGCGGTTATGTGCTGCGAAATACATATGTATATCTATCTACAAATAAATAAATAAATCGGATATTCAAACTTAGTCTAGCTATTGATTAGTTATCGATTGCCGAGCGCAAATCCTACTCTATTGATCAATGACTGCCGCCGAATCGAAAATATTGAAAATACATTTATCAATTCATTTCAACTGTTAGCTAAAAAAAAATTATTCAGATAGTGATTTCATGATTCTACATGTGCGATATATCTATTGCTTTCCCATGATTACTTTTTAGTATTTTGAAGCTATGAATTTTGTTTTAGCGACGCCCCGTACTTATGCGCCAATAGCCGACTGCCCCCTAACGCGGCTAGAAGCAAACAAGTTTGCCCAGACGCGTGTCGTCTTATGGTTGCCAGCTGCTAGCTAAATCGCCAAATGACCGCCTGTCTGCCCACTTAAAGTTGCATGTAACTAAAAATAGCAATAAAAGCAGTTTCGAATTATACAAATAGCAACAGCAGCAGCAGCAGGTTGTACTGGCTGCCAATTGCAATACGCCCCTCCGCACTTCCCCTCTTCCACAAGTTAACATTCGAAAGCAAATAAATGGCTGCGCGCCGTCTGGGCGCGTTTTACTTGTTGTTGTTGTTGTTGCTGCTGCGCTACCAAACTGCTGCTAAATTGTTGAATAAACATTGAAACTAAATCAAAACACATTGGATGTTTTTTTTTGTTTTTTTTTAACAATGTTGCCGCTACCGCTGCTATTGGCTTCTCACGCAATAACAATATTATTATAAAAATTAAAGTGTATATATATTTTGTAGTATGTTCGTATGTATTTATTAATAGGTGGCAAGCAACGGCTAGACTTTGCCATCGCATGATACAGAACTGAGAAAAGGGCTGGGAAAAGAGACGACGAAAAGGGAACAGGAAATGAGGCCATCAAAATGTGACAACAAAGTGACAATTTCTAGAATTCGTTTGACTCAGTTTATTCATTTTCTGATTTATGGGAGGGGTGCTTAAAACATCTTTACCTTAACATTTTTCATTCAAATTGAAGAAATCGATTAAAACATTTCCAGCATTTAATGTTGGGGTGACTTTTATGACTCTCCCAGAAACATTTTTAACGTGATCCAAAACCGAGTTAATTTTCAAAAACTCGAAGACTCTCTACATACTATTAATAGTACAACAAGGGCTTGAAACATAATCCTTATTTGAATATTATCAGAAAATCTGCGCAATAGAACGTCTTACTCTATGCTTTCGCATTTTGGAAACACCCAAGTTTTCATTCTCTTTAAAAACAGATGAACAGATGGCCCGAAATCAAGCTAATTTTTAAATGCTTGAGGCGAGAAGTCAGTAATATATTATATAGATAAGCACCTATTTAATGTCGTATCGTGATATTGAAGTGTGAGAACCAACACCGTATCCTATCGCATTTCGTAAACTTTTAAATTCTCACTCTCTCAGAACTCAAAACTTATGACAAAACCAAACATATATTTTAAATTTAAGAAGCTGTTGAAAGCAAAGTCAGTCCCTATTTGGTGACGCATCAGAATATTTAAGCTTACGAACCAATATGCCGTCCTCTCTTAATCGCTTACATTCGGGGTTGCTGTTTAGACCTGGCATTTAGGCATTCCCTGCTCTCTTTAGAGAATGAAGTCATGCACATGTACATGCGTGTGTATGTACATAAGTGTGTGCTTATGTATGTATGTATGTATGTATGTATGTATGTATGTATGTATGCCTTCTTATCTACATTTACCGCGACAGCGCAGACGCACTCAATCATTCACCTGCGATAAAAAATTACAGCAACAACAACGGCCACGATTAATACAAAAAAAAAAAACAGCAACAACAACAAGAAGAATGGCAGACGGCCACAACTGCGCTGAGCCGGTTGAGTCACCTGTCTGCTGACTGGGTTGATGACGGGGTCGGGAGCGAGCGCGGGCACGGGCACGGGCGCGGGCCATAGAGAGACGCAAGCGACCGTCTGGCTATGAGCGCGCAAAAGTCTAAAGTGCCACTTGTTGTTGTTTTTGCTTTTGTTGTCGGGGGCTGTAAAGTTGGAGCCAGACAGTGCAAGTAAACATACACGCGCGCACACGAAATCCGAAACACACACAGGCCCATGCAGACAGACATTGTTGACATTTTTTTCAGATTTTTTTTAAATTTTTTGTTAGTTGATTAAATTTTTCGCTGAAAAAATAGCGCAACTGTCTGGCATTTGAAACCTGTATATATACAAGTAGTACAATTCGTACCTGTGCTTAATTTTGCAACTTTTTATTTTGTCCAGTAAGTAGTTACAGTAAGTAATCGTAAATTACTGGAGTCGAACCCAAATGCGGGCTTGTGTTTTCCCCCAGACTGCCAAACAGATACGATCGTTGGCAGTAAAGGTGAATTGTTGTTGTCATTGTTGATGAGGCATCTTCCCCACCACAAATTTATCGACAACTTTCGCTTAATGTAACCAACTGAATATGTACTTGTATGTATATTTTATTTTTAGTATTTGGTGTTAGAAACTAATAAAATAAGACTATGTACTTGTAATCCAAATAATCAAGCACGGCTCTAACTTATTATTATTGCAACATTACTTCATTGGTTCGATATTGTGTTCCATTAAAGTGCAGAAATATACATGTGTATTTCCTGACCTTCAAAATAATTTAATGGGTGGCCTTGTGGACAAGAGAGATTTGAACTGAGTTAATACAACTGATCAAATGAACAAGTATTTGCGAGAATTGTTTTTTTTTTATTTAGGAGATAATCGAAATGGGCATAACTAAACTGTTCAGCATTTGCAAGGCGAACAAACTTTATAGTGTATCTTTACAAGTAATAACAGTAACAATAACAGAAATATTATAGCAACAACATAAATATTTACTATAAATTGGCAAATCAGCCATCTGTCTTCTGGAAAGGTAAATAGTTTTCGTTTTTCAATGCTAGTTGTACTTTCGTCATTCAGACACACAGTTAGTCAGTCGCCATCTGTCTGGATTGCGATCTACGAGCGTTTGCCGACTTCTGTCATATATCATGTGCTCTTATCTACAATATACACATATGAACATATGTACTATACATATGTATGTGAGCTTTTGTCTGCGTCTACTTTGTCACGCTATTTTGTCGTCTGTGGCTGTTGTTGTTTTTATTGTAACTGTATATCAGACGACAACCGCAGCAGTCATGATACAATGTATTCCCACACACGCACACACACAAACATATGTACATTGATGTAAAATCTTGTTGCGCAAGCGCCTGTAAATGCCTGTTGCAGGGTCTGCAGCCGCGGCCTCAGTTTTATTGGTCGGTCGGTCTGTATTTCTGTCGGCTTGGCAGACTTGACTGACTGCTTGGTTTGTTTATCGGTTTGCTCGCCTATATGCATATGTATGTATGTAACACTTAAATCGTCTGCTATCTAGTCTAGCCGTATACACACACATACACATACAGATAGACAGACTGGCGAATGTCTATCGGGCAACGAAGTCTAATGTATTTTGTATATTTCATTGTTATTCGCGCCGCCGCCGTCGTCGCTATTTATAGTTTAAACGAAAATTTGTTAATTCTATTTGAATTTTGCACACATTCCCTCTATTGCGGTATTTGTTGTTGGACATACGCTTTTTGCGCCGCAATTCACTTTCAATTTTACGTGTGTCTGCTTAAAAGCTGTTACAGCCTTAACAGACAACTGTTAAGTTAATGTAAATGTAGCAGAGTGTTTGCCAAACGTTTCCATTACGTCGCATTTAATAATCAATATACTATATGTACATGCATATGTGTGTTTTTTACTTATCTATCTGAATGACTCTTATTTGTATTAAAAGTAAACATATTAAAAAATAAATGAATACATACATGTACAGACATACATACATATGTACATACATACATACATGTGTCTATAATTCAGCAATCGGAGTAGCGTAACAAAATAGTTTATGTGTAATTAAAGGCTATGTGATCATTTTAATAACAAGTCTCAACATTCCTTCGTGCAATTGCAGGCCGCATCTTGCTTATCGCCATTGGGGTTAGCGTATGCGTTGCATGCAGCAGCGCTGTAGTTGCCCTAATTGCCTATCGTAGTAGCAGAATACGTCAAAAACGACGTTCGAAGAGGACCAGGAGCAGGAGCAGACGGCGCCAGCAAAGTGGCAGCAACAGTAACAGCAACTGCAACATCAAGAGCAACAGCAGCAGCAGCAACATTGTTGCCAACAGCCGCCATCACGAGGACGACGACGACGAGGACGAGGCGACAACAACAGCAACTAGAACAGCTGCCGCCGCCAACGCCTCCTCCGCCGCCGCCGTCGCTGCTCTGGCCCTGCCACTAACACCAACTTCAGCGCAAGAGCATCAAGCAGCAACAACAACAAGAGCTGCAGCTTCAACAGCAACAACAAGAACAAGACTTTTGCCAACAGAGCCGGAACATTCTGTACCCGTAAGTATTTATATTTCATTTCGTGATCATTGCCTGAATGGTTACAGAAGCGTGATCAACATTTTCATTGCATACTTTTGGGCAAATGTTTATAACACTTGCCGTTGGAGACGGAAAAGTGAAAGTGAATTTCTGTCCGTCCCTACCTACGACTAGGATAAATCTTTTTAAATAAATTTAAGAGCAAACGCAATCAGTTGCTAAGCTAATTAACTTATTACGAAATTCTTAGTAAAATAAAGTATTTGTAGAGCAATAACATGATACTGAGAGAATGAATATTGGCAAAACAATATGTATGTATGTAATTGACGGAAATGAGACTCAAGACTGAGGCTTTTTGGGTTAAGGCCAAACTTTTTTAGGAGCATGCGGAAACTGTAGTATGTATAGCCCTATCTAATCAAAAACTTCCCAAGTGCTCAAATTAATGGGCACATGAGAAATGTGTAACTTCTCTTAATAAATAAAATATGTTGCTTTCGTATATACTATGCATATAAAAATATATGTATAGAAAAAAAACGGCAAACATTAAACCGCTCACTCAGATCCCTCCTACACGTGTCGAAACTTTGCGAACCTTTTGTGCCTGTTGTTGCATCCCTCTCTCAGTCCCTTTTTTACTTGGCATTTATGCTTTGAAAACATTTTCCTGCGCCTGCATTCACATCCCTGTGGCTTCTGATTCCTCTTCTTCTTCTCTGAGCGCCTACTGCGCAACGCCTACGAGTTTTTCCTTTTTTTTTGTGTTATTTGTTGTCCCTACGCCACAGACTAGGCACCCACGATTTAACAGACAACAGGCAAACGGGCAACCGACAGAAAGACGAAGCGACACAGACAGAGGGAAAGAAAAACTGACAGACAGACAAGCAGAGGAGAAGACCAGCTGAAAGGCAGGCAGTAGGTAGTAATTTTGTAGTGGAGGGGTGGCAGCAAAAAGTCCTTGAAGCAAAGCAGCTCCGCTTGCTCACAGCAGACATCTTTAAATTGCTTTGACTGCGTCGCTGGTTGGGTTGCTGTCGCCTCTCCTTTGGGCTTATGTAATGACGCGCCGCGCCTGTTTGGGCTGCTCTATACCTTCTACTATTATGCAATATATATATTTCTATATATATACGCATGTAAGTGTGTGTGGACGGGAAGCTTGCGATGGCTGTTGTCATGGGCGTAGAATACAAAGCTACTCCAGAAAATATGCATTCCTTTTTCCCGAGAATATTTAAATGTTTTAGATAGAAATTTGCCGAAACTATTCAAACTCGAGTCTTCCATTCAAGCGAGAGATCTAAATAAAAGAAAAAATGTTCTTACTATTAACCACAACAAATGCCATGTCGAGTTCGATATGAATAATCGTAAATTTATTAAATAGAAAATCTTGTTTGCAAAGAGCCCTTAATCGCCGAAATGAAAATATCAGGTTAATGTCAAAGTTTTCCAGAACTTTGGACATGTGAGCATGTTTACTGGATTGCTATACTTTTGCAAGAGAAATTAGAAAGTATTTGGCCTTGCTTAGCCGTTAAGAAAGTGGAGGACAATTCTCTTGCGACATGTTCGAGCTAAGCATATGCGCTAGTAATAATAAAAAGGCACGTTCTAATTATAACGATATTAAAGATGCGCCTTATTAAATATCTTCACCATACACCCTCTAGCCAGCCCTTCTACGCCTATGGCTGCTTTTGCTTTCGCAACTCCCGGTTCCAAGTCCCCGTCCCAGTTGCCATATCTCGCTTGGCTCCGACGCGTGCACATCGTTTGTTTGGACGTGTCGTCATCGTCTTTGGCTTTGGCTTTGGCGTTAGCGTCGCTGCCACTTTTGCTGCGTCTGCCGTCTATGAGCCAGGTTGCTATTGTATCTGCTGGATGGTTAGATAGATAGACATCCAACACAAGACAACAGCACGCGTCTGACAATTGTTGGCTTTTGTCTTTATATGTGCCCATATAAATATATATGTATATATATATAAGTATATGTATTAAAGATGGGTGTGTGTGTGTGTGTGTGAGTGCCGTTTGGCATTAAATTTTTATCACTGCCTGGCTGATGTTCGAGCTACTTTCATCATGTCTTTATTATAATGACAGCAAATTCAATTTTCCTGTTGCGCCAGGCCATTTCAATAATACATTAGAATAACAATAACGATAGCGACGAACAACGTCTCTATCTACATATATACATGCATACATATATACCTTTGTTTGCGAGTGTGGGTGGGAGTGTGTGTGTGTGTGTTTCTGTTTGTGATTGTGAGAGAGTTTGCCTTTAAAATGATTTATTTATTTTTGCATTTGCGTATTGCTTTTGGACTCAAGTGCGCTTAGCCTGGCCTTGGGCATGCTTTATTGGGATTTTATGGCAAATGCGCTCGATTTGCTTTGATGATAGAACACGGAGGGACAAGACACATACATACATACATATAGTACATACCAAGATATAATACACCTGTACCATCAGCTGTGCCACCTGTCTCCGTTCACCTGTGCGTGTGTGTACTCGAGCGATATTTAGCGGCGTGTGGAGCGTTCTCTACATATATACATACATAGGTACATGTATGTGTTTATATGTTCGCCCACGGTATGTCTTTGCGGTTGCTTGGTTCAAGCTCATTAGCGAAACCACCGCCACCGCCGACTCCTTATGGCTTTTTGTGGCGAAACCAAATCCAGTAAAGGTTGCGTTAAGTGCGTACCGCGTGCTCTTTTCCTTCATAACTGTAATGGACTGTTTACTTCAGTACTTAAAGCCATGCACTCTTTAACAAATCGGTTCCCAGAACGTTCGAGACTAATGCAGTTTCCGCATTCCACGGCTAACTACTCCATTGGCCAACTTTAAAAGTGCAGCATTATAATAATTGAATAGAATAAATACGAGAACGTTTTTTTAATTGTTTTCTTGCGAGTGGTAGAAGATAGAAGAAATAGGAAAAGCTCCTGCAAAATCGGCTTTTAAAGCATTCGTGGAACTGTGGTGTTCCAAGGAAAACCTTTTGAACTCTACATCTCAATAATACCCGAAAGGTGTGTAACAGTCAGAAGAAGGCGAGGCAGATCCCCTGTCTTGATCAGTATGGCAAGACGAAGACAAGATTATTGTATTATTTTCGTATTCTTTTGGAATCCTTAAATTATATTCCATCTATGGTTTAACTACATATTTAGTATGAGAAGAGCTTCAAGGATTTTAAATCGGAATTTGGACTTTTCGTTATATATGCAAATATAAAAACAGTCAGTTGCAGAAAATTGTTGTTATACTGCAACATCTGCTTATTTCGGTTTGTCGGTTTGTTCTCTTTTACACAGCCAGTTCATGTTTATTCATGTTCTTAATGCAGTGTCATAAGAGGGCTATAAGGAAACCCATTTGAATTGCCATTAGATGAATTCAATTTTTATAAGCCTTTAGTATAATTGGTTGGGAGTCCGTGAACAACCTGTGTGTGTACATGTTGCACAGGAATAACCGCAACAGCAACAACAATTACGTACACGAAGCGCACTCAGCTGTCAGCCGCGGCTCGCCGACGACAAAGACTTTGACAAATTGTTGGTTGCTGTGCTGACATGTATTTCATTTTTCATATTTTTTTGCAAAGCGCTGTGCCCACGACAAACAGCATTATAATTATAAGCAGCGAATGAATACACACATATGTACATAGTACATACATACATACATACATATGTATGTACATATGTACCTACATCGCAATATTATTACGATTGTGCACTATTGTAGTGGCAAATGTGTGACCGAGCCCTGCCTCCGCTCCCACGCCACATACAAGTACACGAACAGTAAGCTCTAACATTGTCGGCTTTTGATCTATCATCTTTTTTTCGCCAAGATTTAGAAACAAGAACAGGGACAGACCAGACAGACAGACAAACAAACAGCAGGCAGAGCCAACAATTATGGCAGCAACAACAACATTAGCAATGGAAACGCGTGGGCCGTGCTTGCCGGCGGCTGCCAACGCAATTGCAAACACAATTGCTGCTAATAACCCTAGGCGTAAGCATAAACGACGGCAGACGACTTTCTTAGCGGCATGTTTTAATCGAATTTTATTTGCCGCTAGTCAATGAATAATTCAATTTGATTATTAAATGTGGACGTGTACGTGTATGTGTATGTGTACGTGTGAGCGCACGCCGTGGCACACAAACACACACATACAAATACAGCTGGAAATGCCGCAAGCTCCAACGCCCGACACTTTCGCGCGCTGTTGATGGCGACGGCGACGCCGACGCCAACGCTGTTGGCATTAACATGCTGCCCGTCGCTGTTGCTGTTAAACGCTTTGGAGCTTCGCCTATGCCAAGCAGGCGCTCTTTGCACCCTTCATTGAAAATGACGGGTGTTTTGGTTTTGCGGAGTATGCTTTTAGCATAGGCAAAATGGTAGGCAACATGTTTTAGGTAAAGAGGTGCATATATGTACCTATATAAATCTTCTATATTCTAATCTTCTATAGGATATATCAATCATATGTAAATATTTTGACGAATAAAGTTGTTGATGCATAGTGTTTACATACGTCACAGTGAAGGGTATATGGCTTCGGTGCAGACGAAGTTAACTTCTTAGCTCGTTATTATTGCCGTTATCTATGCCAGACGCACGCACAGACCCAGACACGCATAAATTAATTAATATTGCAGATATTTTTTCTTTGCAACACACACGTACATACACACATACATACATATGTACATATATATACAAAAATGTTCGTTTCTTTGCGCATTTACCAACACTAGACCATGTCAGGTAATTGGGCCAATGCTGAGAGAGAACAGCTGTTGCGCTCACTTACTAGTAAATTCTAATTAGCATAAGCAAACAAGTGCTGTTAAGCCAGAAAGGAACAACGAAATAACAAAGTCAAGTGTCTGTTTACTTTCAGCTGCTCTATTTACTCGCGCAAATATACGTAAATGCATATGCATGTGTATTAATGTATTTATATGTATATATGCACATGTACGTAGATACATGTGTACATACATACATATGTATGTATGTATTGTACATAGTTGTTGTGTTATTCTTTTTTGGCAATGTGTTGTTTGTGTTCTAATTTGGCCAGAAGGGCTGTGTAAACAAGCAAAGAAGCAAACCACGCAAACAAACAGACGTTGGGTCAGCGTCAACGTCAAAGTTAACGCAAACGTCAGCTGCGGCTTCGGTGTTGCCAGCACATTATGTGAGTCGAGTAGCAACAGAAACATGAGATAAACCCCTACTAGAGATGAGCCACTAGTTCGTGATTTGTGGTAACATAAACTAATACTCACCAAAAATTAAATCAATACACGTTTGTTCTGTTATTGATAGTTACAAATAATATTATTATTATTATTTTTTTTTATTTTCAAGATATATGAATGTATGTATGTACTCCAACAGGAAACAGACAGACAATCGTTAACTTGTGTTCACTGTGTATATATGTACATACATATGAACATAACTAGACCAATGACTACCATCTAAAAACAAACAGCTACTTTGCGTCAGAGGTGTGCTTTTGTCCAGAATTAAGGTTATTACCAATTTCAGCAACGCTTGAGTTAACATTTTAACCTAATTTTCAAGGCAAGAGCACGGGCGCTGTGTCAGCAGTCTGCTTATACATACATATGTATGTATGTATGCATACACACACATACATACATATGTATGTACATACTTGTGTATAACTGGAGAATGGGGTAACTACAGAGACTCAGATTACCACTTGGAAGGCGATATTGAAACCAACACGAATACAAAACACAAAAACAAATTGGTTATAATTTAGCAGCAGTTAATCTAAATCATAGAATACTTGAACAACAGCAACTTAACTGAGCGCAGCCATAGTCAAAGACATCATAGACTCCTATACATATATGTATGTATGTATGTACGTACATACATATATACATTGTATACACTTACACACATACATATGTACATATGTATATGGGTACACACATATGTACATATGTATGTATGCATACACATTTTTATAATTTACGCTGACCAACAAAGTCTGCAACGCAAATATTTGCAAAATTTGTCATTTGTCACGCTCACTTGAACACATCAATCGAACGGGGTACGCGGATGTGCGAGGCGGGACATGTTGAAGCATGTTATCAACGTCGGCGTTCCTTGGCCACACACAGCAACAGATACATGGTACATATGTACATACATACATATGTAGGTACATATTTTCAGACTAATTTGCATTAATTCGTTATTAATTTCAATTAAGAATTGTTTAATATTTAAAGTATGTACAAAATAGTCTGCACACACAGACACACCTAATTATGTTTTTACACGGTATTTTTTTTGGACGGATTTGATTTAACACGGTTTGAAAATTTAAAATTTTATATATGATAACATATGATTAATGTATTTTAATTTGCTTACACGGTTTTTTTACACGACTTTCTAGAACCAATCTACCGAGTAAAAACAGAATTAGGTAATCGGAAACTTTTAGACATTGCACTTGAAAGCATAGGCGTCACGGTGTTTCAACTTTGGATTTGAAACAGTATTTTCATGATATAACATGTTCACTATTGGGTGGAAATTTGTGGAAGTTACATATGTATGTATATACGTAACGTAATGTTTTGTTTGTGCTTGTGCCTCAAGTAACGTCTTCTATATGCTAAGCAGTTCGCTTTAAAGGCCAACAAAAATCAAAACATTTTTTTCACCTTACAAATTACTTATACTGTACAATGTAACGGAACGATAAGGAAATAAAGTTACTGTGACAATAAACGTAACGGAATGATTTGAAATATGCGAACTGCATGGCAACTTCCTCACTGAAAAGGTATCGATAGAGCCGATAAATGGTAGGTTTTTGCGGTAAATTGATGTTTGCTCAATTGTAAAGCTTACATATATTTGTCATTGTGCAGTTTTTCATTGAACTCCACAACAATGGGCAAAAAATGTCGTAACAAGCGGCAGCTATCACATAAGTTAGCTTCCGTCGGCCTTAATGCCTCAAACTCCCAACTCGAAAAAGAATCCAACGAAGTCACAAGCTTCGTGCATTCCTCCATTAAAATGCATGCTAATACAAATATTGATAAATCAGAGCTGTATGAACTTTATGGCCAAATCGCCATTTGGGATGCTCAAAATGCTGCCAAGAAGATGGAGCCGTCATCGAAGAAATCAATGGAGAACGGGTGCAAAGAAGAATATTCCTCTCCTGGACTACGGTGGCAAGATCGCAACGTTGTCGATTCAAAACAATCTGAGGCCCAGAAAAAAAAAACAATCCTGAAGAGGAATCGGACACCTAAGGTTGGGGCTGAGAAGTTGGGCACAGCTAGCAGTGGTGATGGGGACAAACGCAAAGGGGCTCCAGTTCCGTGCCTGCTGAGCTCACCACACCGTTATGTACCGCCCGAGCTGGCCCAAGTTGATCTAATGACTTCGGCCGACTTCCGGGAGGACTATTCGGCGCACATTGAGTTCATGCGAATGACCCAGAAGGATCAGCAACACATGGATTTCTTCCAGAAGATCATCGGGGAGAACCGACATCTTTTCGAAGGACGCACCATACTTGTTCTGCGCTGTGGACCCGGAACCCTGGCACTGATGGCGGCACGTGCCGGTGCCACACGCGTCTATGCTGTGGACCATTCAAAGGTAACCGGCTATGCGGAATTGGTGGTGAAGAGCAATCGATATGAGAACATCGTCCATGTTATGCACGGGCGCGTCGCTGACATTCACCTTCCAGAGGAGCAGGGCGTCGATGGCATAGTTTGCTGCTGGATGGGCCACTGCCTGCTTTACGAGTCGGAAATTTTAGAGGTGCTGCAGGCCCGCGATCGCTGGCTTAAGCCGGGTGGCTTTATACTGCCAGACCTGGGCAGACTTTATCTGATTGGCGCTGCCGAGCAAGTGATGAAGAACCAGCGCTGCAACTGGTGGTTGGACGTCTACGATATGAAAATGTCAATAATGCGTCGCTATTCGCTCGCGGAGCCCCGATACGTGAGGGTGACCCCCAATCGAATACTCACCCTGGCGCACAATGTACTAAGCCTGGACCTTACAACAGCGACTGTAGAGGACTTGCAGATAGATCGAACTGTGCACCTTCAGGTGCAGGAGGAACAGTACTTGGAATGCTTCGTCCTGTACTTCGATGTCGAATTCAGTCGAGCCCACATGCCACTCACACTCAGCTGCAATCCCTGGTTGAAATCCCGTCTAAAGTCGACGTGGCTGCAGACAGTGCTCTTCATCGATGAACCGTTCATGGTGCGTAAAAATCTAAAATATCTGGGTCGCCTCATCCTAAGGCCGCTGCAGAAGGCACCAACAAGTCTGAATGAAATGCGATTTGAGATCGAGCTGAATCAGTACATTGTGGAAAATATTCGTAGGACCTATACGATAGATCGAACCCTGGTGAACAAGGCTTGGCTCATGATGCAGCGCAAGCAAACTGTCGAGGAGGTGGAGTCCTGTCAAGATGAGAGAGTGCAGAACCAATGGTAGAATTGTATCTATATGCATGAGATTATATAAGAATTATAAAACTGAAATTTTCGAAAAATAAACCTGTTGATTCTACATACTCAACCACTCCCCTGATCTTGCCCTCCATTGTTTTATAAAGAATCTTTGCAGTTTGTCTTCTGTGGAGCATAAGTTTTCGTTAGTCGCTACGCTCTTTCTCATCTAAGGGGCGGTGTTGAGCAGAATAAGAAACACAAAGATGATCTAAGAGATACATACTTGTATTTAGATAAAGAAAAAGAACAAGTAAATCATTCTAATGCCTCTGTATTACTGTTTTGTGAAGTAAAGTCATATTACATGCACATTCTATAAAAGAACGGAGAGTACGTTCAAATCCTAAGTAAATAGTAAAAATTTAATTGTGTATAACTTCAAAAGCAAGGGGATGTCGCAGCCAGGGATTATGGAAAGTCAGTCTTCAAAAGTCTTAGTAAATGAAATTGCTCGATTTGTATCATAAGCTGCCATGTGAGAGGTTGCAATTGCAAGTTGATCAATCAATAATAATATAGATCAATAATATTTGCTTTTCTCTTGCAGATGATATCGGTACAGACGGCCGGCTGCGCGGGAATGGAGCGGCTCCGCGTTCCGTCCCGCACATCGTTGAGCACACAACCCGATGATAGGTGAGTGGCGCATTCACAGCAACAACACCATGTACATATGTATATATGTAATAATATTCTTGCATTCGATAGGGATCAATTTATATGTAGAGTGCGCGTCGATACGCTCCAAGCACGTGAGCTTTTGGCAGCACGCGGCGAAACTGTGATTCGTAGCAACAGCAGCAGCAGTAGTGGCAACAATCAGCACCAACAGCAACATCACAATAAGCAACAACATTCCCACCATCAACACCAACAACAACACCATCTGTATCAGCAACAACAACGCATGACAACTCCGCACAGTTCAAGCGCTAGTGGCAGTCACCAGCAACAGCAACAGCAACAACAATTGGGCAGCAACAACAACAATAGTATTAACAACTACGGCAACAATGTGGCGCGAGGTGGCATTGAGGCAACCACACTCAAGTACGGCAACACAGGTAGTGGGAGCTACAAAGGTGGCATGCAGAGCAACTCCTCCACATCGACGACATCGACATCCTCGTGCAACTCACTAAACAGCCACAGCAATGAGCATCACCAACATTACCAATACCAGCTGCAGCAGCAGCAGACGCCACGTTGCCCGCACCACGTGCCACTGCCGGACTGCGAGTATGGGCAGGACCGTCATCTGCAGATACGCAGCAGCTACCAGGTGAGTCCTCTAGCTGGCCAGCAATCAAATGCGATGCTAATCTTTGATTTTCTCCTCCTTCTCTCCTTCACAGCAATCGGAAATCACGCGCTCCTACACAAAGCCGCCGCCCAATAAGACAGTGCGCGACGTGCCCGAACAAATCTCTGCTGCCTGTTCAGGCACCAGCTACCGCCTGAATTCCTCAAGTGCGTCCACACTGCATGCGGCATCCACAGCTGGTGCCACGTACCCTTTGACTGGCGCATCAGGATCCGCCGCCACAGCAACAAAATCGAAGCCCAACGCCATAACAAAGTTCTTCTCACGGATCAGCTCGCCCAAGTCGCCCACAGCGCTAACAGCGGCCCCTGGTGTTTCACCGACGCTAGCTGCTGGAGCAGGCTCATCGCTCGCCTCTTCCGCGTCCATGTCGTCATCAGCCTCCTCGCTGGCATCTTCGGCAGGCATGTCATCGTGTGTGTCCACCTCCTCGTCGGCCTCATCGCTGGCAGCGGCACCACTGCCCACACTTCCCATCTCCAATGCCGCTACGCTCAAGAGCACCGCCTGCAGCTTTGGAGCCAATGCAGCAACAACTATGGCAGCACCATCGGGGAGCATCTATGCCGGCTTGGCGCCCACCACACAACTCTTGACCAGCCTTGGGACGCCCGCCACAGCCACAATAACAGCCACAGCCGCAGCGACCGCCAGCATACCAGAACGCATACCCACGCCACCTCTGTCCGTGTCTGTGCCCATTGGAGCTGGCCTGCAGCTCCTCAAGAGCAGCAGCTGCAATTTACCAGCTGCCTGTGAAACGTCCTCCATGGCCACTGTTGGTGTTGAGCCGCCGACGATGACGACGACAATGACAATGAGTCGCAATAATTCCAATTCGAGCATGATGAGCTGCAATTGCAATTGCAACAGCAGGAACTGCAGCAACTGTGCCGGTTCAGGCGCAGGCAACTCATAACTGAGCTCATGTTAAGTTTTATGTTAGTTTACATTACGTTTACAGTTAAAGTTACATTAACAGATTTATTTGTGTAGGTCTGGTCGCCACCGCCGCGCTGGTACGAAAAGACTGTTTATTAGTCAGAATTTAATTTGTAAATGAGCAGACAAAGAGATGAGAAGAATGGAAAGGGGTAGGGTGAGGGAGGGGGGAGGAGAGGGGGAATGGGGGAGTGTAACAGTTAAACAGTTACAAATACGGCAAAGTGCTGCGCTGCCGCCACAATCATCCACGCCCGCACTAAAACAAAAAAAATTATTTAAAAAAAAAACACTGCAATTTATTATTGCGTTAAACTACAGACATCATTTCCATTACCATAACCATTGTCACCTACGAAATTGTAGAATTTACTTTGAATCACACACACACACACACGCATACATGCAGACAAAAACAGAGACAGACACCAACAGATATACACTCTCACAAAATATGAGTAATTAATTTAAAATCAAACAACAACAGTTTAGCCTCTAGTTGTAATTTAAATGTAAACGCCTTATCAATATGCACACGACGTTGGTTCTGAACTGCCACAACATTATTGTGAATAATTTCTGTTCTGTTCAAACTTTCGTTCATCCAAATTAAATATGTAATGCATATTCGGTTTCCAAATTGTTGTAGACAATTTAGTTTACGATTCTCAGACCCCCTATCGTCTGTACACCTGAAGGGGGTTTTGCTAAAAGAAACAATGTAAAACATTTCGTTTGATTGCAATTTGTGTGCGTTCCTCGTTTTTTGATTAGTCCTTTCTTTTTATTTTTTGGCAACGTGTAATTTATTTTATGTAGCCGAAAATTTTACATACATACATATATAAATATAAACATATAACACATATATATTTTTGCTTATTTAAATAATAATTTATAAATACAATTATAACGACACAGACAGAAACACACACACACACACACACACACACAAAATATTTCTTTAGTTATGTAAAAATAAGGAAAGAGAACAAGAGAGGGGAGCCTCCAGCACCGATACTGGACTGTATATAGAGAAATGTGTGTATGTATTTAATTTTTAGTTTAGCCAAATAGCGCAAATTAATCAATGCTTTGTAAATGTACGCAGAGATAGCTGATAACGAATAAAAATCAGAATCAGAATGCGAATGAAGTTAAGTGTTAAGAGAGGAGGATGAAGGATGCGGTGAGACGCAGCAATGCATATTTTCTAAGCACATACGTTATATTATTAATGCTATGCTTAGTATTAATAATTCTTAAAACAGAAAACAAAAAACATATATAAATGGAGATGCAATAAATGCAAAAATATAAAAGGCCGTTAAAAACAAAAATCTTCAATAACATTTTGTTTTTTATGTTTGAGGGTTTCTTTCTGTATATACGAGTATAGAAACATACATCTGTATATTTATATTGTTTATATAATTGATGAAAATCGATATTTAATGCAAGCATAACCTTATTCTATACGTGACAAGGTTATCCTCAGAATATGCAAGCTTTTAATTGAGACGATGAACTGTTCTGTTCTGTTTTCAATGTGCTACGTAAGTACTAAGTCCTCCAGAACCCGTGCCCCAAATTGATGAGATACAAGTGAGGAAAACGCATCAAAACTATATGGTTTCAAAGCTTACGATCCATTTAAATGTAACTTTAGCCCGAAAATAACCAAAATTTAAACAGAAAGAAGAATAAGCGAGTAAATAAAAATACTAAGCAGAGAAACAAATCCTAAATGCCAATTTCAATCTATCTCGATGTCTATCAAAATGCATAAACGACTAATATTTGAAAACTAATACGCAATCCTAAATACATACCCGAACGCATATTCACCATTCAGCTCTTAAAAGCTCAAATCAAGAAAGAGATCGCTTTAAATAGCATAAAATTAGAACTGTAGTCACTTGAAGAATATTATTATTATAATTATTCCATTATTAATGAGAAGAAAGAAAGAATAACACGAGACGAGTAAAAACATTGCAAGTCCAACAGCGCCTAAGCCTAAGAAGGAAGAACTTGAGAAGTCATCTTTTATAATTTACGTATGATAGGCCTAATTTCAACTACCTCCAAGCATAATGTTTTTTAAATTCAAATTCTAAACGAAGTTTACGAGTCTACGCATTATTATGATTAGAGATTACGAGTAAATTAATTAATTTAGAGATTAAACTTTTAATTGAAACAAAACGAATCGAATCGAAGCAAAACAATACATAGACAACATGACAACCAATTCAATTCAAGCCAACAATCATTGACAAGTAATTAGTATTTTTGCTGCGTAAATTAAATTTAAAATAAATATGTATTTGTAAACTTTAAAAAACAAAAAATCACAAATGGAAACGCAACACGCTGCGTTCAAATTGCGAAGCCGTCGACTGATATTTTTAATGAAATTACACAAAAAACAAAACCAAATGCAAATGCAAATAATAAATAAAATCGTTCGCCTAGGAACACAAAAATGGTTAAGGTTTGAGGGAGTCCCATTTAATCGTATTTGTAAATACGCATTGAGATTGCATAAACACAGATACATATGTAACTTATAGTTATGCGATAAACACAAAATAACATTCACCTTTTTAATAAATAAAATAAAGAAATACCAAAACAAATTATCGAACCGATCTGTCCTCCCATTTTGCATCCGAAAGCAGCTGCAATTAAACACCGTGCCCGTTTCAGTTTACGTTCGCACTGTTAACCGTTTCAAAATTTTCAAAATCATGTGATGATTACACGATTACAGATGCCGAAACCGAGACGGAATCGGTGCGAGATCGAAACGCAAGCAATTTGCATAAAACACTAGCGAAATTTTAAAAACGCATTAAGCAAACGCAAACGTCAAAATATTACGCATAAAATCGAAATACATATATTAAATTAATACTTATTATTATTGTTGTTGTCTCATATATAAAAACGAATTAAAATATATATATATATATTGTATATGGTATATAACTTTAAAAGCCAAACACTATAATAAATTGGTATAAAAATCATTGAATTCAATTCAAACTGAAACAATAAAAATACATAATACATTGCAAAAACAATAACTCCGCCCTGTCTCTTTTCTTAATTCTAAGTTCAATCTAAAGCCTTAATTATAGGCCAGATAAACATCGTCGAAAGCGGAATTTTCAATATTAGGTTTTTAAAGACTCGTCGTATTTAATCATCTCTTGTAAATGACTAGACATTTTGACATTTTTTTTTTACTATCACCAATTTTAGGAAGTTCGCTATTGCACACATCAAGAATTCCCCTCAAACGAACGATTAGAGAAGAATACTTAAAGATCGTGCTTTGTAAGTAATTAAAGCTCCATTGTTGACACAAAACTTCCTACTAGACGAAGAGGGCTCAATCCCACAATTACTAGGCATCTAAAAAATAGTTTAGCTTTTTTGTCCCCCGTAGCCTATTCCCACTGTATTGATACTTAATCACACACCCTAATGCAATGCAGAAGTCTAAAATTCTATCAACATGCTAAGTCATAGTCTAACACGAACGTGAAACGCTCACGTACATCTTATCTGCAAATTTCCCCAGACAAGCCATTAAAATGACTAAGCACCTTATCCTCCATATTATTACGCGTGTTTTAAACCCAAACTAGTATGTTCAATTTCGAGCGATAACATTCAATTGTTAAAAATCGAAGACTGAAGAGGCCCTCCCATAAAACAAACCCAAACAGTTTTGGGTTGCGTGTCAAGGGAAATACAACGACGTCTTCTCTCCTTCAATTTTCGCGCCGACTGACACATGAAACCAATTAACTAATCAGCATCGAAAACTTGCCGAGAGGCAATCTTATCTCAGACAAAATTCGACAGAATTTATTGCAGCCGCCGAGAGAACATTTGAGGGCCGAGTTGGCGGTTCCATAACATAGTCAGCCCTCACTGAGATACGGTCACTCCTCGGATGCCGTAAAGGACCTCAAGCAATACAAAATCGGTGAAGTAGCGGTCACACAACAGCCCACAAGCAATGGCAAGGCCATTGAGACATCGGGGCCCAAGGAACAAAAAACTCCAGTACAGGAGCAGAAGAAAGAAGGAAGTGGCACATTTTGTTGCTGCTAAGTCAAGGAGAGCACAGTATTATCCGTTAAGTCGTCTTATCTGTAAATATTTGTCTAATGTAAGGCGCAAAAGTTAAATAGGCGTATTTACGATTGAGCTAGTCAGCTCGATGATTCTCACTTTTTATGGGCATCATTTATTTGCATAAACAAAACGTAAACTGTAGCTTTGTAGTAATTAACTCATCTAATGCACGTTTGTGTCTTAAAACACCTTTACAATTATGAATATACTTATAAATATGGTAGCATTAAGATCAACTTTTCTCTAACGTACACATGCTTTTGCATGTTAATAAACTGTAAAAATATATATGTATATATGTAACTCTATATGATTTGTCTGTTGCATAACGCTGGTGCCACTTTAGAAATCGAAAAAATTAAACACTATAAATTTAACTATGTCCAGTCTACGACGATTCCGTCTCCGACGCCGTTGGATTCGTCTGCTCTTGTGCATCCTCCTCGAACACACCACAAGCTTCATCGAAGGGCTCGGTTGAAAAGTTGCACATGTTGGTCGTATGATTGCGCAGATAATGGTAGAAACGACTGGACCGGCGTTCCGTTGCAGCGCGTTGTTTCTCGCTGCGACAAATCGCGCGCAAGGCAGGCTCATAGTCAAGATTACGCGCGCTCGTTGTCCGTAATTGAAAATTCCCGAGGTGGGAGCAAAGCTTGTGTCTGAAATCAAGAGAGATGGTCTATTAATTAAACTAAAAACACACGTAGCAACGTTTACAGAATGAACCAGAAGAAAGAAAAATACATGCCGTTTCTTGGGCTAGCAGAATCTGAATACAAAGTGTGCTTATTCTACCTTATATACATTCTAACATCCTTCCGTTCATACGGACAGACAGATGAACAATTCTATATCGACATAACTAGTATATCCTTGTACCCTTGTATAATAAATCTGCCTGGATATTTCATTCAATTAAGCTGGGACCCATTAATGAATCGGTTAAAAAGTCGAATACGAATATTTGAAACAAACTAATAACAATTAATAATAACAAGTTTGGTTACGATATTTGGAAAACAAGGAGTGAATTAATAATACCAAAAAAAGGGGAAAGGGAGGGTAACGAATTCCAAATTCACATTCTAGCTCATGTACACCAATATGTTATAGATACTGAAGTTATACGATCTTTTCGTTTCCTTACCTTTTCTCGGGCTTATCGAACAAATTGTAATAGCCCCCCTCCACTCCCAAGTTATTTTTTAGCGACAACTCGACAAGGGTGTGGGCTATTTCCTCGGTGAGATGTGGTTGGAGACGATCCCTGCGATCCAGACGTGCATCCACAAGCGTAGCCGCCGATAAGATTTTATAAAACTTCGACAACGTGCTTATCGGCGCAGTGTAAGGCTCGATCATATGGGTTGCACTGCTCAGCCACGCCTTCTTTGGCGAGCGAGACTTCCGCTTGACTATTGGCCCAGATTTGTTCCCGGATGTCGGGCATTGGGCCTGCAAACGGGGCGAGACATGCAACAGATCGTTAAGGTTGAGGCGCAGCAATTGAAAGTCCACCGGGAAGGGAATACGGTGCTCTGCATTCTGGGCACACGTGTAGAACTCAAAGATATGCTCGTGCAAATAAAGGCCTTCAGTTGCCGACAAACGCATCACCTTTGGCGGTGACTGGGATGAGCATTTGGACGTAATATGTTGGCGTCGATCGCCGCCGCTTTGAATGTAGAACTGCAACTCCATTAGGGTTTTGCGCAAATTCTTGCCATTGTACAAATACAGAGAGATCAGCTCATCCAATTGCGTCGGGCAGTTCTCCATGAGCGCGAGAACTGCGAGATATTTTGATATATTTATCACGTTGGGCGCATGGAACTCAACAGTGTTCTGCTGCATGAGACGCTGCAAATGCGCACAATTGGGATCTGAGGCCACAACAATGACTGGGCGCTTGGAGCTTGCCGCTAGAGTGTAAATAGCGTCTGTGAAGCCTGCATCCGTGTTCTCAAACAGAATATCAGCGTCCTCTATGAGTATCAGCGACTTGCGGACGCTCTGGCTCAGCTCATTGTTCGAAGAGCTGTCTCCCGCGTCGCTTTTCTGGCGTTTGTTACGAAGCCCGTTTAGCGACATTTGCATCTTAGCTGTTGAGCTGCTGGCTGACTTAATATCCTTGCGTATCTGATGCGATTGGGTGGCCTCCTGCAGCTCCTGTATCAGTTTCTTGCCGGTGCGCCGCATTCCGGCATTGATTTCCAGCACATTGAAGTTCATATCATTTGCCAGGGCGAAGACGGCGTTTGTTTTTCCGCTAGAACAGGGACCCAAGATCACCATAGCATTGCTTGTGGGTCCAACGGAGCTGGAGTCATTTCCAAAATCAAAGGACACATCGTCAGCTATCTGCAAATTGCGTTGTCCGGCGCCATTCCATTGGGCGAGAAAGTCGCGTAGCTGCTGCACGGGCGTAAGATTCACCAGAACCTGCTCGAACATTAGTGGTTTGTATTTCTCAGTGAAGAGCAGTTCACCATTCGGTGCTAGGGCCGGTGGCTTGACTTCTTCGGAGCTCATGGCGTCGAAATTTTTCTGCTGCCCGAGCGAGCGGCGTGTGCTTCGAGTAACCACAAAGGATTCACCCACCTGTTGTGTATCTTGAGCTGAATCAAGGACGCTAAAGAAGCGATACTTGTCCCGCATCTGATTATAGCACTTAAAGGTGGGGAATTGCTTAAATTCATTCTTCCACAACTTAACTATATCGCGCTTGTTCTCAAGTGCAGGCAGTGGAGAGTACGCAGTGTGATGAGCTTGGTGTCTGCGTCCTGGCTGAACGCTCCTGTTTCCCTGGAAGTCCAGTTTGGTACAGCTGGTTATGCCGCCCAAGGAAATGCTCGTTCTAGATTTACGTTTGCCAACTGTTGTCGACTCGATTACATCCTCGAATCTCAGCTTCAATTGCAAAACCTCCCTGGGATTTGGCTCTTTCTCCTCAGCCGTAAGCTGTGGAACATGCGCAATGCTAGGAAAGAGCTCGTAGCTGTCCTCGTAGTACTGTTCGAACTGCTTTTGGCGCTGCTGTTCTTGTTTGAGCTTATCTGGCACGCCAGAGCGCAGAAATTCGTGGCGTGCCCGCAATGCCTCCGGATCGGGACTCGGCTTGGGCAGTTGGCGCATAAATAATGGCGCCAATTTCTTCGGCGTCGACGGAGGATTGCTGTTGTCGAGATCAATGATTTCGATAGAACTGTCCGCAGCAGGCGCTGAGGTCACTGGCAGTGAAACATCCTTAGTTTTGGTTGGACTTTTCTCTAGATCGTAATCGTAGCGTGCCTTTCCCGCGCACGAACGGCGAGGACGACCTGATGGCGTTTGTGGGGCCGTTTCCGCCGCAGCCTCAGATTCTTTTTCAATAACAGGCGTCTCAGCTTTGTTGTTGATGCCCCTTGTCCGACGCTTGGGCGTTTCCAACGACACAATTTGTGAATCAATTTTAGTTGGGCGCGCTTGTTTCTCAGCCAGTTCCATGGGCGAGACTACCTTGGGAAAATAGCCTAGGAGACTGTCACGTTTCTTTGTCGGCGAAGACAATTTAGCCAGAAATTCCTCTGTCTCCGCATCATGTCTTTCATTGTTGTCCTGCAGACACTTATCCGTATCCAGTGAACTAAGGCGGCGAGTTCGCGGACGCCCCCGTGCACGTTTTACTCCTCCTATTGTGGGCGCTGAAGAAGGCTGTGACTCGGCTGCCTTCACTTGATCGGGCTTGGTCAACATTTTCTTAAGCCTACAAAATGAATTTTGAATGGAGGTATATTGTTTGAAACTATTCACTTACCGCTTGGTGCGTTGCTCCATTTGATGTTCGATGTACTCGCCACGCGCTTCGTCGGCCAACTTGCGCTTAGCACCGCCTTTGCGATCATTCCAATCCTGCAACATTTGTTTTCGTTTAGTCTGAGGAGTTGACGTTTCGCTCGCGTCTGTTTTATCGCTGGACAATGGCAGCTCCTGCCCATTGGCGTTGGTGCCTAGAGATCGGGTGCGCGCATTCATCATCAGTTCAAAGACATTGGTAGGCTTGTGTAGACTGACTTTGGGCGTTTGCGGTATCTCATCAAAATCTGCCGGTTCTATTGCTGCGCGGGAGCTTGGCGTTTGCGACTTCGATACCGGCATAGACATAAAGTGTTTTCTGATGCTTTCGCGCTCCGGTGCTGGTGTGCTGCATTTCAGTGGGCTTGATTTACGTGCTGGCTTGGCTTTGGCAATAGCGCCATTCTCCTGAGCGCTTTTTTCACGTAGCGGCTGCTTTTTGTCCATTTGCACGTGGCCTTCGTCTTTTTTCTTTTGAACTTCTTCGGCCTCGGCGAGCTGTGCTGCGCGACGTTTTTGCTCTCGCTTGCGTTTGTGTTTCTCACGGTGCTTTTTCTTCACTGAGTTCAGCACTTCCTCCATGTTCTGTAGTATCAGCTTGGAATTGGCACTGGGTGGTGCCCTCAGTACAAAGGGCGAGGTTGGATTCGCCTCCAATGCAACAGCTTGCCCATTCTTTGGTGGAGTTGTTAGGGGACTTAGACTTAATGTCGCATTCGTCGTTGTTGTCGAAACAATGCTGTTGATATTGATTGGCTCACTTGTAAAACGATTCTGTACATCAGTCATTGTGGTTTATATTTTCTGGTTGTGCGGATGTGGTGTGGTGTGTGGGTGTTTTATTTAGCAAGCGGGTAAATTACAAAGCCGAATTGATAGAAAATTGCAGCAAACAATTGGCAAAGCATAGCAAAGCTAAGTAAACAATAAATTTGTACCTTGATGTTTTCTCAAACCTTCGCACGCACACACACTCGGTTGTTCTTTGTCTGGCACTCTCCGTTGATGCTCTCAAGCTTAATGTGCGCCACATTAGACCCAATTAGGAAACATTTTGAGGACAACTTTTAGGAAAATTATCAGGTATGTTTACGTAGCGACCCTTGCTTTTCCGGTGAAAATGCACTCTACATGCTCATGCTGTAAAATGTATGAAAAAGGCGCGAAGCCAAACAGCTGATTCAGCGAGAGACATTCGGAGCACTGTCCAACACTAAACGTATGGCAGTGCTTGCCAGACAGACACACATTTTCCCCCAGTTCCGATCTCAATAAGTTATTGCAAAATTCCACGAAATTATAGAGTTAACGTTAACAAGCATTAGTGAACACAAGACAAGCAACAATTCGAAAATGTCAGAAACATCGAGCGAATCAGATAATTTAGATTTAGAAAGTGCGACAACGATTTTGAACGATATTAAGATATCCTCCAGCGCTACAGCGGAGGTAACACAAGTAAAAGAACAACAGCAGGAGGTGGAGGCGCTACGAGCAGACCAAACATTTGTCAAGCAACCCATGGCGCAGACGGCTAACCATGATCCCTTTCCGTCTTTGGACACCTTGAAACTGCGTACTCAGAAGCTGTCTGCCCGTCTCCAGCAGGCGCAAACTGAGATGTCTAGTCAGAGCTCAGACTCTGCGACCATCGAGCACAGAGCCAAGCAATTTATGCGGATTTATGTGCCGTCGCCGTCTCTGACATCGTCGACAAAAAAGGAACAGCGACCCCAACCAATATTACACCAACACTCTCCCACTCCGATCCAAGCAGCACCGCAACGACAGTTAGCTAACAACTTAATTGGTTTCGGAGTGCAGCATCAGCAACATCAGCATCAGCGAGCCGCTCCTGTTGTACCAATGTCCATGATACCGATGCAGCATTTCCCCTATCCTGTACAATCACAGAACTATGCATTGACCATGTCATTGGCGACCCAGATGCAGTTACAAAGATCCACATTGGCAGCATCCGCGGCACTACCCCAAGCGCAGCGCAGGCCCAAAAAAAATAAAAAGGCGCTATCTGGCGAGATTACGGCCTTAATAGAGCTCGTGCAAACATTAGCCACCATTAGTCCCGAGGTGAATGCACGTGCCCAACTCCTTATTAATCAAAATAAGGTGCTCTCCCAGCTGGACTGGCCCAACACAGGCGCAAATGCAGCACCACAATCGGCAGTGCCGCCTGCACGCTTATATGGCAATACGTTGCCTGGCCAGCCAGGACAAGCAACTTTGAACCCAATGCGACGCATCGACGGCGGCAGCGAACAGCCGCAGAGACAGATACTGCCCCAACAAGCCCATGTTAAGCAGCATCCGCAGCACCATCAGCATTATCAACAGCACCACAATGGGAGACGTTCCCGTCGTGAATCAGAACGTTCCAGCACAAGTAACAGCAGTGCGCTCCCTGTGGATGGATCGGCAGCTTCTCAGTCGCCTCGCAAGCGTAAACGCAACCGTAAAAATCGTGACAGTGGTGTTCAAAAGAATACGCCACGTACTTTGGCCACCGAATTGGAGTCTATGCGCGCCTATATCAACAGGATTGTGCAGAATTATGCTGGCGCTGAGCAGCTACTGCCACGTGAACTGCTTTTCACTGGGGACTTTAGCGATCTTGAGGAATATGCACAGCGCCTTGTGGCGGCTGGCTATGGACGCATAGTCGAGGACGAGATTCGTGTGAATCGTAAGAATAATCGCCACGCGTTCATTACAATGTCCAACGACCGTGAGACATTGGAACGCGATGGTATTGTCTTATTGCCGGTTGCACGACGCTATGCGTTCGAAGGAGACACCGTGCGCGCTTTTGTGCTTAATGTTGGAGCTTCTGTATCTAAGTTGACGGAAGGATCGGGTACAATAACTGGTGGCAACACTTCTCTATCTCTGGGTGAGTAACTCCAGATCATTATTTGGCAGTTTTAGTTTTTTACATTTCAATATATACACTTTCCTTATCTGGTATTGAAGTTATACTTGTATGTTGTTATTTGTTAGCCCCTAGTATCAAACTAATACAAGTAACTAGTAGTTTCCTCTGGTTGCCGACAGAACTCATCCAGTTTGATATTTGTCGGCTTCGTTGGTCTGATACAGTATTTCATGAAGATGTACACACCAACAATCACAATTGAAATGATAATTGCAATATAGACACGACGTAGTGGTGTGTAATCGGATCCAAATTGTGTGGTAGCTCGTAGTCCGAAATTGGTAAAAGTTGATTTCTTAGGTTTTCTGAGTCCTCATGTCTGCTTGAATTGTGGTTCCTCCTTGTCAAGTCGTCAGAGGATGGCATTTCTATTTGTCCACATGACCGTACTACTTGGATTGCGGATTCGGCACCCAGGATCGATTATGACTAGTTTCATGTTTCATGAATAATGTCATGAAACTGCTTTATTGACCAGGCCTCACAACTTGTGGCTGGTATAAGAGTTTTTTCAGCAGCGCTGAACATAGAACTCTTTCGTTGTTAAACCGATCCTTAAGCATTTTCCATGCTGCCTTATAATTCACTTCAGGGAGCGAGAGATGGTGAATCAGTCGTTCTGGTTTGCCTTGAAGATTGTCCTTCAAGTATTGTATTTTGGTATTGACATCTTTGGCAGCTGCAAAGAAAATTGACTTGTCATTGGGGTTATTGCGTCAAGTGCTGCCCAACAAAACTCTGTTCAATAGAGTTACAATAGAGTTGGTCACGTTGTTGACCAATCTTTTCCTTGGTTCAATACCAAGTTGTTGAGAAGTATCCCTCGTTGAGGATTCTGGGGCTTCTGTGAGCGCGAGCAGAACTGCTGCCCAACGACGTCTCGATTAGTCGCCTTGTGGACTAATCGTTTCAAATACAAGTTTGCTTTGTTGTGGTTTCTTGGGCTGGAATGAATGATACAGTACAATGAACGTTCTTAGTATGGGACATAGATAAGCACCAACAGTATACCTTAAATAAAGTATATTCTTATTTATATACATACATGTTTAAATATTACGACCAGTAACGCTTCCACAATCCTAGTTAGTTAGTTAAAGAGTTCTTATGGTAAGCCAATAACCGAAACATTCAATTCATTTCATATTCAAGCTGAAGATGAGGAGCTGTCTGATGAGACGGAATCACAGGACTCGGATGCAGACAATGTGGCAGTCATAACGTCAGATAACTGTCCGAAGGCTTTCGTCATATCAATTATCAAGCAAACGGAACTGCGTCAAATAGTCGGCACCATATCCTTCACCAATCCCACAAAGCTCAGCAACGATAATCTTTTTTACAAGTTCCGTCCCCACGACTTGCGCGTGCCGATGGTCTACGTAGCACAAGAGAGCTGCGCCAAGCACATCGGCACCAAACAGCCAGAGGAAGTCTGCGGATTGCTCTATCTGGCGCATATTCTTGAGACGGACTGCAATGGCCATTGTATTGCAGAGCTGCTGCAGCCGGTGGGTCGAGTTGGCAACCTCGAGGATGAAAAAAAGGCTATACTCATTCATAACGGCCTTCGGGACATTGTGCCCTTTGAAGAGCGCTTTAATGAGATGTTTGCGAAGCCAGGGCCACCGCCAAATGAAAAAGACTTAAAAGGGCGTGAGGATTTGCGTAAAAACTGCATTTTCACCATTGATCCGCTAACAGCGCGCGATCTGGACGATGCGCTCTCCATTGAAAAAAAAGGTGACAATTGCTTCGAGGTTGGTGTGCACATTTCGGATGTCTCGCACTACTTGCCGGAGGACAGCGAGCTAGATAACATAGTGAAGCAACGCTCCACATCCATTTATTTGGCCAATGAAGTTATACACATGTTGCCTCAGCCACTGTGCTTGCGCTGTTCGTTACTGCCGGGGGAGGATAAGTACACCTTCTCCGTGTTTTGGCAGCTGAATGGAAATGGAGAGATGCTCAACAAGCCGCGCTTTACGCGCAGCATTATCAACTCTTGTACACAATTTGCGTACGAGCATGCTCAGAAATTTATCGATAATCCTCGCGAGGACTTCAACGACGACGAATTTCCAACCATCCTGAATGGCTTCGGCGTCCAGGATGTGATGAATCGTGTTCTCTGGCTGCACGGCATAGCGAGCAACATGCGCAAGCAACGTTTCGTGAACGGCGCACTCACCATAAACAACGCCAAGTTACGCTTTACACTCGATCCGATCAGTGGTGAGCCGGAAGGTTTCGAGGTGGAGCAACAACGCGAGGCTAATCGCATGATTGAGGAATTTATGCTGCTGGCAAATCAGGCGGTTGCTCGTTTCATCCACGACCGATTCCCAAACATTGCCGTGCTCCGAAACCATGCGCCGCCACTAACGAAATCAATGAAGGCACTGCGCGAAAAGCTCCTGCCTCTGGGCTATGACTTGGACTATAGTTCATCGAAGGCGGTGCAGGAGAGTATGGTGCGGATTTGTAGCATGGCTCCCGATCCAGTGGCAATGAGCGCGTGTCTCAGTCAACTGCTGATGAAGCCAATGGCGCGCGCCAAGTATGTCAAATTGCTTCCCAGCAGACCAAGACTTGTAATGTCTTACTGATAACAACTTTTTCAGATACTTTTGCAGCGATGGTAAAACGGATGAGGCCGACCTTTGGCATTATGCACTGTCCATACCCATTTATACCCATTTCACAAGCCCCATTCGACGCTATCCGGATATCTTGGTGCATCGGTAAGAAATTTGACTCAACATTATGTTTTAAATGTATGCAACAGACAACTGATTTTCGAAATCGCACATATATTTAGTTCAGTCTTAGTTGCATCAACTTTATTCCTTATTTATTTATTTGAGTAAATCAATACTTCCTTTTCAGACTGCTAGCTGCCGCACTGAACTATTGCCCAGCGCCTATGCGTACTCCAGATGAGCTGAGTGCGCTTACGAAAACTGCCAACGAGCGCAAATATAATGCCAAGTCGGCTGGTGATGATTCAAGCAATTTGTACTTCAAGCGCTATGTGAAGAACAAACAGATAATATATATGCGAGCAGTAGTGATTGAAATTTTCCAGCACATGCTAAACGTCGTCACACTTGAATCGGGTCATGTGGTTGCCATCAAATACAAGATGCAAAAATTGGTTGTGGATACTCAGAATGCGCCGAACTTTATTCTGATATCAGAACGTAACTCGAAGATGCCCCCAGCCAAGGTCCAGCTGCTCTCAGTTGTGACCATTCGCTTGACCATATGGGACAATAAGCTTACCGGCTTTCTCGTTGATTCTCGGACACGCAGACACGGAGCACAGAACGAGGTGGGGAAATGGCGAGCCAGCAGCGAACAGCCAAGTGCTGGTGCAGCATCCTATACCAACACTAGCGCCATTACCAAAACAAACCAACAGAAGCAGCAAGCATCTCACAGCAAAGGCAATAGCAACAGCAACAGCAACAAAAACACTGCCAGCACCAACCACTTCCATGGTAGAATAATAACACAGAGCAATAATAACGTCAACAATAATAGCAATAACAGCCACACTACACAATCACACGGACACAAACAACGCGTCTTCGCCATGCGACAGGACAGTTTATAACCGCAAAACGTTCAAATTTTTGTTCAATGGGCACACGCTGATCTGAGCTCTATTTTTATCATGTTGTATCAGCATTGTCAATGAAATTGACTTCATTGGATGCCTGCACATCCTACCCGCTAATGTTTCTCTAAATTTCGTACGTTTAATTTTCAAAAGAAAAAGTCACTGCTCTGCACATGCGAGTAACATTTGAATACTTTTTGGCACAGCTTAAAAATTTATTCTGTGATGCATAATCTAATTTTAAGATATAACTGCGGGTATTTTGTATAATAATGCAAGTAATATGCGCAAAGCATCAAAAAATAATAATATTAATTAAATGAAGGAAATGCAAATAGTTTTAAGCTGAACGATTAATTGTGAAATTCAAAAAGAATAAAAGACGAAGATATCCATCTTAAATAATTTCAATAAAGTACACAGTGTACAAAAAACGTACTTTATCAATTGCAGTGTACGCAATATGCGCCTAATTGTGTTTATTTTCTTTATGCTTTTATTACAAGTATTTTGTAATATTCAAAATACTTGCACGCTTCAGTTATTAAAATAAAAAACATTTTTATGTATAGAAAGTAATGAAGATTCCTCTATATTTGTTAAACGACTTCAAAAGAGGAGGATGTTTTCAATTCGACTCTATTTTTTTTTAATCTGTTACGATTACAGTTTTTCCTCATATCCACATTTAATTTTTCAAATTTTTGCCTATCAATTCATAATTTTGAATGTGTTCGTCTTGTAAGAGCTTGGATAGTTCTTGGCTCACAGGACTTAAAGATAACATACTTTAGAAGTATGTACTTCGCTAGCTATAAACTGCTCATTCCAAGATAAATACATGAATTGTAAAAAATATATGTTTTAATTAATTCCAAACGAAATATAATATCAGGGTTCTTTCCGTTACCGATCTCGATTTTACGAAAAGCTTCAATTTTCACTAACTGATTGATTACTATTCTGCAATTCACTTTATGGAATGGAATGTAATTAGAGAGAGTTCATTATTATTATTTTCTAAAAATTTGAAAACCCAAATCGTTTTAGAAAATTTTGAATGAAATTGGCAATGTAAATCAATCTACACATCAGTCGAATTATGTGGAATCGAAAATGTTAATATTAAAGTGTTCAGTTTTTATTGTATTAGTCGAAAACTCCATAACTCATTCAATTTCAATATGGAAAAATTTAATTTTACGCAATTGTTAAAAGGACTGACCAGTCTACAAATGCCGTTTGACTGATAAACAATCAAAGGTTCAAGTTCTTTACCATTCTTTAACCTCAGTTAGAAAATGTTGCCTGGCCGACTTGTCCGTCAGCTGGCCGAACAAGAATTTAGCAAAGAACATGTTTCCTGGCCAGCCTAAGCAACTCGCACTCCTCCTAAGCTGGTAGAGCTTGAAAATGCTTTAGCCTTGGTTCGTGACTTGCATTGGATTTCAAAACTCGTTTCCTACTGTCCGTTGGCCCCGTAGGCATTTCCCCCGAAAGCGTGTGACGTAGTAGCAACAGAAACTGGCAATGAACACTGACTAAAGGCAGTGCAGATAAGCCGAATTAAAAATTTGTTTTAAAAGTACCTTGCCGGCCTTTTGGGGTTTTCAGTCTTATTTCAAGAGTCGAACGACGCACTCGAAATGAAATCGGTTTGTGCATTCGGTGGGTTATTGACTATCAATGAATAAACAATTGAGCGATACTTATTTAAAATATTCTCATTTAGCATTGCTGTTGACTGCCGCTGCGGCCTACCCACAGTTCTGGAATCAAAACCCAAACTGGAATTCGAATCAAAACTTTGACACGAACTTGGCACAGAATTCAAGGTTCCCGACGAGGCCAGCGCCACCAACAAATACGTTTCCCATCGCCACAAACGATGGAAGCTCAACAACACCACGCCCGACTACGCCAACAACCGCTTCGCCACAATATCTAGCGTGCCTGCAATCATGTCCAGCAACGAGCGAATACAATCCCATCTGTGGCAGCGATAATATCAACTATCATAACAACGGACGCTTGGACTGTGCTGTGCGCTGTGGACAGAGTAAGTCTTGACCTGCATTTGAAAATTACGGGTATTCCTTAAGTCCGCATAAATCCTTCTTTCTTTCTAGACGTGGTGGCTGTGCGTAGTGGCACCTGTAGTCCTTTATAGAGCGCTTGCAGATTGTTTCCCTTTTAATCTGTGCATTTGAAAATAGCAACAAATAAATAAATGTGCGAAAGGTTATCGCTAATTATACGACCCTCAATGCTTCACTCACGCTCTCTTTTTAAACTCATTTAATTAGACTAAGCGTTACGGGGCCCGCTCGTGCTGACTGTAGATCGGTTCAATGACGTCATTAAACAAATCTTAATTGAAAACAAACACATTAAAGTGCCAGTCAGCCTCAGTCCCAGCAGAAGCGAATCTCAGAGCTGCGCTTATCTCATATGTGTGGTGTGAAGATCGACCGCACAAATAGGCTGTCTCCGGTCCCAGGCAGAGCCGCAGCGGATTGTGTGAACAGTCGTAGTCGCGTCGCGCTCTCGAATAGTGAAACGAGTTTTGACGCATAATGTTGAGGCTGATTCATATTTGCAGTAAGTTCATCAGACTAATGTCCATAACACACACATGTTGATAATCTGAGGTATGCAGCTTACTTCTTGCTGCTCTGCCTGGCCCTCAGCCGGGCACAGCCCGTGGACTATAGCAATCCGAAGTCACAGGTGGAGTACATAAGCACGGACGCAGATCGGGGCCCGAAGCCGAACATTGTGCCGGTCACCAGACCTCCTCTTGTCATCGATACACCGCCGCCAGCACCGGCCAATTCGAAGAACTTTGCCTTCAACCCAAAAACGCAGACCTGGACCCTCATTAAGCCGGGCGATCCACAGCCCGAAGAGGGCGCCTTGTTATGGAATCAAAGCAACGATAAGTGGCTGACTAAAGTGCCGGGCTCGTTAAGCATTTGAGGCCCAACCACTATCACCACCATCAAGCAACAAGCTCTCTATACTTGTATTCGATTTGATATTCAACCTATTTAGCATGAATGAAGCAAAAATGCACACTACAAGCAATTATGTATATGCTTTTTAAATAAGTCCTTAAGTTAAATAAAATTATTTCCAACCCCAGCAAGGGATGTTTTGCCATCAATGTATTATCCTCACATGGAAACACTGAGCAACACACTTCGTTTTGGGTTTATTATACAAACAATCAGATTATTTATGCATGTACTATACTCTATATTATTTTATTATTGTCATTCGAATTACTTGTAGTAGTTAGTCAAAGGTGAGGATCACTCTTCAGCTCAACGAAAGTGTCCCGTTTTATGGCGCTGGGCCTCCGACCCGGATTTCTGTTTATGTTGTTGTTGTTGCTGCTGCTGCTGCTTCATGCGGCATAGCTCGTCGGCACTATAGTTCAGCTTCCGGGTGGCGTTCTCCGCAAATCTGTCGAATTTCTGCACAAGCTCCGCTATCTGAGTCTTCAGGTCCTCCAGATCCGCTCGCACATCGCCGAGCCCGTTCATCTGATTTTTCAGCTGCACATTCACATTAGTAGCAGACCGCGGACGCAGCAGCTCGTGCATTTGGAATTGCTGGGGAGCGGCTGTGAAGGCATCAGTCGCCGACTGATGCGTTTGCTGCGGTGAACTGTTGCGCGGAGGCAGAGGACTGCGTCTGGTCCGCTGCTGCTGCTGCTCCTCCTGCTGTCGCTGGAGGCTGCGATTGAAGAAGTTGTAGTTGTTCTCGAATTGACGCCGGCGTATGCTCAGATTGCGATCTCGTCGCTCCGCCACCAGCTTATAGACGTTCAACTTGATGTCATCGGGCAGCTGGTTGTCGCGCGGATCATTGGGCCGTATGGTGAACTGGAGCTTGTCGCGAGAGGTACGCAGAAGCGCGCTGCGCTTACACAACTGAAGAAGCTTAGTCGGAGCGCCTCTCAGCAGACGAGAGAAGAACAGGCTCTCCAAGCGGGAAACCAGCTCCGCCTGTCGCACGAGACGATCCAGCGTGGCCGAAACCTGCAGCCCTTGTATGTCGCTGACGGCCAGACCCACCATTAGGTTGGTCAATATAACGGTAACTAGAAGCACGAACGACAGAAATATGATGTGGGCTGTGACTGGAAACTTGACGGGATGGTCGCCAAAGAAAATGTCCTCATACTCCAGTTCCCCAGACATCATAGTAATAGACTTGAGAAACGACCAAGTAATATTCTCGAAGGCGGGGTAGTCGTTGAACAACACCGAGAAACTCAGTCCAAAGGCAACCAGCAAACAAATGTAGGCCAACAGGAACTTTCCAAAGTTTACGGCGACTGAAAGCGGAAGTAAGACGAATTCAATTAGAATTAGATCAGTGATCAGTAATCGGCAAGTATGCACACCTTTTGTAAACATCTGCACATACACTCCAAATATGGGGAAGCGACCGACCAACATCATAAGTTCCAACCACACCAGAAGAATGACAACCGCTGCCACATGATGTTGCCAAAGTGGCACGGCCTGCAGGTCGCCCGTACGCATACTCTCCGGTGACTAGAAGAAGGAACACACATATAGACATATAGACATAGGTTTTACTGTTCGGATCAGCACAGCAGATAACACTCACCACGCACAAGAGCACGCCAAAGACAATGGTCCATTGTAGCCAGTTCTCCCAGTATTTTGCATAGCCGTGTAGGCCGTGCGCCATTTGGAAGATCTCCTTGCCCAGCAGGATCAGATTGAGAATAATCACAAAATATCCAATGGTCGTCACATAGCCGGATGCTACACAGACCTCTCCCTCCTTGCAACACCGCACGAACACGCCAATCACGTAGAGTGTGAAGAGTAGGACGAATAGCGCATGGTAGGCGAGGCTCATGAGAAAAAACTTACGAATGCGTCGCCACTTGAGAAAAAGGAAGGTCTCGCAGAGCGGGTGCATAAGAATGCGCTTTTGGCCCACCTCGATGAGGGACAGAAGCAGCTCTGTCTCCCCCTGCTCCATTGACGAACTGGGCACAAGCAAGCGGAAGTCCAGTTTGATTTGACAATCGACGTCTCCGATGCCAATCTCGTTATCATTAGCCTTGATGGAGCAATCCAGTTTGTGCATCAGCTTCGGTATAATCTCGGGTGTGCGACGCACTATAAAGGACAGGGCCGAGACGTTTCCATCCGTGCGAGCTGTAATATTGGCCCCGTTTTCTAAGATAAACATACAAGACAGGAATTTATGTTGAATGAACAAATTTTCGGAATAGTCTCCCATGCAGTAATCTAATATATTCTACCATTAATAAAGCATAATACTGCATGGGACTATATTCATAGATATTTACTTGCCTATGAAGGTGTAAACACAATTACTGAATTCATTCAGCGCTGCTATATGCAGAGGTGTGTAGCCATAATTGTCCGCCAGGTTGACATCCGCCCCGGCTTTCAGGAGCGCATTGCAGCAGTCCAGACAACGTGACTGCTTAACAATAGCCGCATGCAGCGCCGTTCGACCATCCCGATACACGGCATTCACATTGGCGCCATACTTGATTAGCAACTCTACTGTACTGATAGACTGAAGAGAGACATAAGAAGTATTGATAGCATAACGAAGACTTTACCCGCCCACACTAACCTGGGAGAGGCAAGCCAAGTGCAGTGGCGTCTGGTGGCTAGCATTGCGGCAGTTGACGTCGGCGCCATGGTCTAAAAGCAGGCGAGCACATTCCGCATAGTCGTTCTCGGCGGCTGCAAAGATCAAATCACTTAAAAACCCCTAATCCGAATCCAGCTCCACAACTACGATTGATTGGTACCTCAAATGAGAAATAACTAACTATTCCCGCAAGCGTTAATCCACCTGAATCGAATATTCATGAAATTGTTTGAGATATTTTAAACGGTTCAGTGAGAACGTTACGCAAATGGCATAGCTATCTGATAGGAACTAGCTGTCCAAATCGCAATATTCAATATTTTGCGATTACTGTTTTCAATTCTATCAATGCTAAATAGTCTTTTCCGAATAGCGTTCAGTATCAGGCCCGTTCCCATTTCCGAATTCCATCAAATTTGTTGGAATCGATTTGGCAGTATTCCCGATTTTTACAAAACGAAGGAATTTATGAGATTCATTTGAACTAATGAAAATAATGGAAAATCATAATTATCATTTTTTAAAATTATTAATGCTAATTTTTTTAATCCAGATTTTTCTGGCAACACTTGTATTTGGGGAGCCCCCGCTGAGCTAACACAAATATACAACACATACATACATATGTAAATATGTAGGTAAATACGATTACATATGTTTGTATGTATGTATATAGTACATATGTATGTACATACATACAAATATTAAAAGGTACTGACCCAAATGGAGAGCCGTCACCTTGCCCTCGCCGAATTGGGAGCGTACGTCGGCATGGTGGCTGAGCAGCAGCTCCACGCACTTTGTAAAGCCGGAGGCACAGGCCGTATGCAGAGGGGTCTCCGTGTACACCTGCGGCGTGTTGGGATCGGCGCCATACTTGAGCAGAGTCTCCACACACTCGACCGCATCCCGATCGATAGCGAAGTGGAGGGGCGAGCGCTTCTCTATGCCGCTATTGATGTTTGCCTTGCGCTTCAGCAGCAACAGAATGCATTCCACGCTCTTGGCGCTGCAACGAAACGAAGATGCGAGTGCTCTAGAATATGCGTGTGGGTGTGGATGTGGACGTGGGCGTCGGATGGTGGTTGAGAAGCTCAATTGCTGCTTGTGTCGTGGCCCGTGCGTGTAATTTGTTTGGCGTGCGCATGATTTGACTTTAATTGGCCGCAAATTATGCGCAGCACGCGTACCCGCACTCATGCCGCATCCACACCTGCATTCACACCTACGTAGTAGTTGCCTGCACTCACCTCGCCGCACAGTGCAGTGGCGTCACCTCTTTTTTGGCATCCCACCGATTGGGATCGGCGCCGCGATCCAGCAGTAACTTGGCAATGGGGACATGTCCGCGACAGCAGGCAAAATGCAGAGGGGTGCGTCCCCGGAGATCCATACAGTTTGGGTCTGAGTTGTACTGATTTAGCAGATACATAACATTATCTGTGGTGCCGCGGATGGAGCACAGCAGAAGCGCCAGATTGCAGTCGCTTGGGTTAGCCATGAGTTCTGGAAGCGAGGTCAAGAGTGAGTTGGTGGGTGGACATGGGTGCGGTCGAGACTCACCCAGGAAACATCCGGACTGAACCATTTCGAAAACATGTCTGGCATTCGGCTGCGCACACAGCGTCTCGTCGACCTCCTGGGGCTGCCAAAGCACTTCGTTCTGCTGCTGACGCGTGAAGATCTCGTGAGCCTCATTGCTAAAGACCGCATCGCTATTGGTTTCACTTGAAATGCTGCGCTTATCAAAGAGCAGGTCAGCCTGCTCACTCTCCGAATGCCACTTCAGGTCGTTTTCCTGCCAAAGTAAATACAATCGGTTATGGAACGCACACAGAACGGCAGATACGACTAAAACAAATAAATATAAAGACAGATATGTAGATCTCAAACAGCACTCACGATGATGGAGAAGCGCACGTTTTCCATGTTCCCAGTACCGCTTTGGGCCCACTCTTGATGTTATTTTGTTTTGTTTACGGTTTTGTGGTCTATAAAATAAACAAGCACTCGCATTATTGGCCACATCCACTTGGCATATTCCTGCCGGCCATTTTTCATTGATCATCAATGAAAAGTGAAAATTCATATGGGCATTAACTCATGCACGCAAATAGCGAGATGGCAACCGCTAATCAGCCAGTCAGCCGCCTAACCAGACACTGCAATCTGTCTTCTGAAGTAGAGGATTGCCGACCGATAGAATCACTTCGAATGCCACACAGATGGTGGATCTCCTCCCACCACGCACACACTTGATGTGTGCCGTTGAACTTGTTGTTGCTCTTTTATTGTTTATTGTAACACTTTGTGGCTGTTCAATGTGTGATCATCGAGTGACTTTGTTTATTTGGAAACCTCAAAATTACTGAATTGTTTTTCCACACCACTGACAATACGTGCTAATTTCTCGACCGTGCCCACTGCTCCTCCACAGTTGGCAATAAATTCATTTTCTCTTGACCGTTGTTCGCGTTCCGAACCCGATGAGGCGCCACAGTATACTGATTGGCCGATTGAGAAAATTTTAATTTCGCTGCTGGCGTCGATTCGCCCCCAAATATACAGATCAACACCATCACCTCTTTCCCCGTTCATAAAAGCACAAAATGAGTAATGAACATACAAATGATCAAATAGATAAAAGCGCAGGAAGTGTTACCTCGAGTTAAGCTTGCATATGAAAATTATAAATTGTTTTCTCAAATGTAAAAACATGCATTTTGTTTACATCATGTTATCGGTAAATGTTGTTTTTTGATGAAATTTCTAAAATTCGAGGGAAACATGTTTCAATCAAACGCTTTGAAATTTAACGTTTACTAAAGTTGCCATCTATTGCTCAAAATGCTTAAAAGTATATACACGTGTGGCAGTTCTTTTTAATTGAGTTGGTAGGTCTATGAATAATATGGCAATTGGCAGCCATTTTGTCTGGCTTAAAGCAAAATCGGGGTGCAATTTTCTGACCCTAATTAAGGAAAAACCAGGTACCTAACAAGAAATATCTTGCAATGACGAGCAAGTTCCTGAAGGACCTGAACGTAAGAACAGGATTTTCCCGCCTTAAATAGCCGCAGCTGCTCGTAATTACTACTGAAACCAGGTACTACATTTTGCTGCGTCGCGTAGCAATACGGTTTGCTGTTACCAGCTCAGCTATAAAAGGCACCCCATTTTGCCTGACGAAGTCAGTCGTTTGGCGAACGTCAAAGCATTCGTAACAAAGTGAAAAGTATTGTGACAGCAGCGCAGGTCTACGCCTCAGAAATAACAAAGGTGTGTGTATATGTATATAACAAGAAAGTAACCTTAAAGATATTGTGTCGCGTGCCAAAAAAAAATATCTATACAAAATGGTTGCATTTTACGATGGATGTGTTGGAGGCGATCATCCCCAAACTTTAAGCGATTGGGTGCGTAATTTTCGTTTGAAGCGCGTCCAAATGCGCCGTAAGTTGCGTGGGGCTGGCAGCGACTTACGCGTCTGCGCCATTTTGTCAACTGCGTTGTCTTGTGCAGAGCAGCAGTTGCGACGAAAGCAGCAAGAAAGATTTACTCGTTGGCTCGATATGCAAGCCAAATTTGTGCCACATGGCAAAACACATTGCGCCAGCGATGCCAATGCTAACGCTGAACGGTATGACCGTTGTGATGACGTCAAATTGGAGGAAGAGCGTCGAGAAATTGAAAATAGTCTGTGGAAAAGTGAGCTCAGTGGCCTCGACGATTTCATGCGCAGTTTGAGTAGCAGCAACAGCCAAAACTACAACTGTAATGGGAGCAGCAGCAGCAGCAGTTACAACAACAACACTCAACAGCAGTGCGCCATTGCAGTGAATAGTTAAAAAGAGACAAATCTATTGCAGCTTTCATATCGAATTATGTGCCTATAAGAGAAAGCGGTTCAGCACGATGCTTTAGTATCAATTGTCATAATTTTGATTTGTTACAAATGTTAAATTAGTTTTATTATGAAAATATTTCTCATTTGCAGTCGTAAAACGCATACAACGCAATTATAGAATGTAATGAAATGAATGTGAAGGAAGTGAAGAGTGTGAGATGAAGAGCAAAAATGTGCATACATATATGGTGTGAGTCATGGGCGCTGCTGTCAAATCAACGCCAACGCCACCAAAATGGCATGACAAACGACTGGTTCGGGTGCAACACTTTCACACTTGGTTTGTAAAATTGTATACTACTTTTATTTATAAGTTATAACCAAATAGCTTAGTTTTTTGCCTAACGGAAGTAATACAAATTCTAGCTACAAGCAGAGAAACAAAGAAAATACCAGAAAATTTCACAATGGCGACGTCATTGAGTTGTGGTGTATGTATAACAGATTATGCCAGTTGTGTAGTTGTTGCGTTTCTTTGTTCGATAGTACGCGCACACATTATAGAGGCCGTTTGTTTGTATATGTGTATGCGTGCTATATTTTCGATTGTGAGCAAGCCTTGGAATACTTGTTTTTTCAACACATTATTTCCGTGCTTCTTGTTTGGTCTGTTTGTAGCTATTTTTGTGATATTTTACTTGGGAGAAATATTACGTACGTTGTTGATTCATATTGAATGCAATACTATAGTATCGATATATAAACAATTAGTTCGTAGTCGCGAAAAATAAGTTAATGTACAAAACCCCACAGAACTGATAACTTTTAAAAATAAAATCTTTACTGTACCTATTTTTGAAATCAATGTTGCCTTGATTTATTTGTACTTTGTAACAAACTATTTGCATTTATTTTGAACGCTTGGCTATAATCGATTTTGTTTTACAGTTTCCTGCTCCTCGAAACGTTAATTGGAACGATGAGGAGGAACGGAATACTTGTCAAACAACCTCTGCAACAACAGCAGCAGCAGAATCATCGAGAATGAAGCGAAGCGCTCCTCTCAAAATGAGTTACACAATACGCGTCGTATTCGGCCAAGAAAGTATTGACATTGTCACTGAGTGAGTTCTTCAATTGTCTGTCCGTCTACACCCACACAACGTTGGCCGCGAGTTGCGCTAGCAAGCAAGCTCTACACAGTCCGCCGGAGCAGCAGCAAACACCACCGAGTCTCCACCCACTATGCATGAAATGCCAGAAACAGCTCTGTTCACGCAATGGTTTCATATATGGGGACAAGGCGGAATTGCACGCAGCAGTAGCGGCGGAAGCAGCAGCTCGGCAGCAAACGTGTGTCCCGTCCAACGCCCTTGTCGGTGTCAACCATCCCAAGTGTAATCTACTCTGCATAAAGCGTTTCTCAGTTGCTGGCAACTACAAAAGCTACAACACCACCACCCACTATCCATCCACTCAGCCAGCATACAGCTATGCATACATATACACACGGTATTTGGTATATCAGCTGCGAACACAAATATTGCTTTTTGAACAAATTTACAGCGTAATACAAAACGGAGCATACCAAATCAACAATTTACCAACACGTCACAGTTGAACGTTCCTGTGATGCGCCATCAGTTACATAATTAGCAAGCGGTATGAGGTCACGAACATCAGCATCTTCGTTGTCACCCCGTCGTTGTTCCTTCGGTTATTTCGCTTTACTTTCTCTCGCATGTAAGCGTTTTATGGACTCTTTTCGCTAATAACAATCGAATTACAGCAATCGCCAATTGGTTCGCAATGAATTTGGAAGGATCCATAAAGACTGTCCAAAAATAGTGTGGTTGGCAAGTCTACGTAGCTCCTTTGTTCTAATCAAACGCATCGCATAGCATTTTGTGTTATTATTTTTAGCGATATGCTGCAGTGGAACTGTGCCTGCACATATCGGTCGTGGATAAGTCCCTCAGCTCGGAGGTCAGCTAGTAAGACTATGAATGGACGTGCTCTGTGGCGAAACTCGATTGCCAAATAGGGCAAGAGATAAGTTTGAAGTTTAATTTAATGCTAACCAGCCCAAGTATCGGGCTTGTATCTTTTGTAGCGATACGTCACAGTTGAGCGGTGCCTGTGAGTATCTGACAAATCTATTGAAGTTTTTTGAGAAACACGTTGAGGATCGATAAAAAGGAACTTATAACCCCGCTAAGTAGACTTAGGACAATGCCAAATGTTTACTCTGTATTTTTTAGCGATGCGGCGATCAACTTGGTGCCGCCTGCGTGCATCTGCAAAAACAAAAATCGATATTGAACAAGCCAGAAAGATTAAGAACTATCGCGCCTAATAGATCAACAGCACAAGCAGGAGGTCCCCTTCTTTTTTCTCTCTCTTTTTGGATACTCTTGTATAATTTTTTAGACCATGGCAACGCGGTTGAATGTGCCTGCATTGCATGAATTCTGCTGACAAAACGGAGGGGCTGAAAATGCACAATTCCTTTGATATGCCAGATGATAACACTGCAACAAACAATCATAGAAGCCATAAACGACAAACTCTAACCCGAAGTCAAACTCCTCATAACCAGGCTTTCCGACGTAATTCTTACGTTTGCCATTCTCAATTTGGACCTTCTGTTTTTTTATAGTTATATGACGCAGTTTGAACGGTGCCTGCGCATAAATATGTGGTCAAAGGAAACCTAAATGTGGATTTGAAAAAATGTTCGTCTACAATGGATACGTCGAGGGCTCCCACAAATGTAACTACTTTTGTAGCACGAAAACGTTTTCTTTCGTTTTTTATAGCAATATGGCGCAGTTGAGCGGTGCCTGCGCATATTGGAACCGACTTCAGAGTTTGAAATGACCATTTTATTGTCCAAGATTGCCATGAAGAAGCAACCTTCCTGTCCGTAATAGCCATAAGACTCAAGTTTGAGCGGTGCCTGCCTATTTATTATGTGGATTGTAGGAAATTACCGAGTCCGTCTACAATGGATACGTCGAGGGCTCCCCGTAAATGTAACTACTTTTGTAGCACGAAAACGTTTTCTTTCGTTTTTTATAGCAATATGGCGCAGTTGAGCGGTGCCTGCGCATATTGGAACCGACTTCAGAGTTTGAAATGACCACTTTATTGTCCAAGTGATAATTAGATGTGGATTTTAGGAAATTACCGAGTCCGTCTACAATGGATACGTCGAGGGCTTCTCGTAAATGTAACTACTTTTGTAGCACGAAAACGTTTTCTTTCGTTTTTTATAGCAATATGGCGCAGTTGAGCGGTGCCTGCGCATATTAGAACCGACTTCTCAAGTTTGAATTGACTACTTTATGGTCCAAGATTGCCATGAAGAAGCAACCTTCCTGTCCGTAATAGCCATAAGACTCAAGTTTGAGCAGTGCATGCCTATTTATTAACGGTGTGGGATACATAGATGTGGATTTAGGAAATTACCGAGTTCACCTACAATGGATACGCCGAGGGTTTCCCGTAAATGTAACGACTTTTGTTACGCAAAATCGTTTTCTTTCGTTTTTTATAGCAATATGACGCAGTTGAGCGGTGCCTGCGCATATTGGAACCGACTTCTGAGTTTGAATTGTCCACTTTATGATCCAAGATTGCCATGAAGAAGCAAGCAGTTGACGCAACGTGGCCTTTCAATGTTATACACGTAAATCATTTGAAATGTGGCACAACGTATTTTCCCCGTATTTTGTAGCGATATGAACGCAGTTGACTGTATGTATCTGCAAACGGCATAGGCAGGCGCTCTACTACAAGAGTCGGTGTCAGCGAAATCCTGGGATTTTGGTTCACATGTCGTCGCATATTTAGGACTAAAAAGGAATAAGATACTCCCTTTCCTCATTATCCTGAAAAAGTGGCAGTATACATTTACCGTATTTTTGCAGTGTCGTTATCTTCACATCCGTCTACGAAGATGTCCTCCCTCACACAATTGAAAACACGCTCTCACTTTTGCCCCTCTGATACTGATACTCGTACATGTTGCAAAATTGATTGAGGCAATGGGAATCAAATGCCAACTTGAAAGCAATAACACCACTAACACAACTGAATACCAACCAACATCATACAATAACATAACGAATTCTGAAAGGTTCACTGAAAGATCCCGAACGTCAAGGTCAGCTCAGCGTCTTCTTTCAACTGAACATTCTCGCAACACTTTGATGATGAATAGCAGTGGGAATAGAACATGAACGGCGGCACATAGGAGATTATAAATCCATACTTCCAGAATGTGTGAGAATCTTTACTCGCCTTAATATCTTTTCCACCTTTTTGCAGTGATGCGACACAGTTGTTGAATGTGTGCCGCCCGTGTGCATCGAGAAGGGCGCGTCATGTTCCAACCTAAGAGCTCACTTTTTTGATGCGAACATTTATACGTACGTGACAACTTAAATACAAACTTAAAACCGTCGAGCGCTCTTGCGCCCGCGCACATTTTCTCTTCCACTCCTCTTTTATTACAATGTTTCCAGCCTAGGTTTCATTATGACTGAGCATCTTACTCTTATTGCACGAGCGAACGCCACTTCGGTGTCAGCAAATCGTTAAAGGGAATCAAAAACGATACATCAATCCATCCATTTAAGCAAATGTCAAGATAAGTAACGCCAACAACAACAACTGAAGCGCAAAGCTACACAAAGTGTCTGTCGCTCACAATGTGACGCACTGCATAACTCGCCAAACAAACCCTTGGCTGCTACAAAAAGTCACTTTGACGCAAACGAGAACGTTTAATCTAACTTTACAGCAATGTTGGCTGCCACATGGCTGCTTGTGATGCTAAAAAGCAAACAGCGCCGCACAGTACACTCACCTAGGCCGACATTTACGCATGTATATGGGTCTAGTGAGGCCCCAGTACCCGTTGCTGGGTGGGGGCCTCTGCGACGCACCGTCAATGCGTCGTGTGATGTACTCAGCAATAAAATGCACTGCACCGCACAGAAATGTGCGCGCTCGGTCCACGCTAAAGGGAACCACATGCGTTTGGACCGAGACCCGCCATACCACACACCATCACCAGCACTCGCTGAAGAAGCGAGCTGATGTGTTGTCGTTGTTACCGGGCAGCTGGCTGCATCAAATCTTCGCAACGAATCCAACTTTCAGCATTCATTCATTCATTCTGAACTGAAAGAAGCGACCGTCTCGACAGAGCGCTCCCACTCCTGTGCCACTGCCTGAGGACTAATTAGGACACAAAATGCGCGTTCTGGGATACGAATGAGGGTCAGCTCTCCCCCTTGCGCGTTCGCCAAGTTGCCAGAGTGGAACGGGTTGCTTCCACTTTTTGTAGAGTCGCGTTTGGGAGTCATTTCAGCTATTCCAAATCCATATCTAGCAGCACGCGGCGGCCTCTGGCCCCTGCTCACCGAGAGCACCACGTGGCTTGGCCGCAGCTTGTCGCAAATGGGAATCAAATGCGATTAGCGATCAAGAAGCAGAAGATGTCTGTGTAAGAAGATGAACAGGACGACGACCCGTCAGGCGAGACAAGAGGCAAAGGCAGATACAGTTGACAGGAGGCAGGCGCCAAATATGAGAAGAGCAATTTTTTATTTGGTTTATCATTTTCCGTTTTCTTTCTCAACGGGTTGTCGTCATCTCAATTCAATTTTTATTCCACTGTCTAGGTAGTCCAGAGAGCGAAGGGTGTGGCAGCTGCTACACCATATCTGTATCCATCGCAAAGGGAATCAAATGCGATTAGTGTTCGAAGACCGAGCTAGCTAGCCTGGGCTATGCTACGCTCAGCCAGTTGAGCGCTTAACTCCTGGCGCAACGTTCAACGTACCGCAAAAGGGAATCAATTGCGAGGTGGTACTGCAGCAGCATGAAGGGCGAGTTCATGAGCATGCCAGTTGAGCGGGTCCCCCAACTCCTGGCTTCAAGTTTCGTTTCCCGCAGCAATCGTAAAGGGAATCTAATACGATACAGCAAGCAGCATCAGAGCAGAGCAGCCCGGGCTCTACCAGGCAGGCAGACAATCGCAAGAGATCTCAACAGATTGATGAGAGCTGGCGTCGTCGTGGTCCGTCTTGTTGTCGTTGTTGTTGTTGGCGCCCACGCCCGCGCGCGCCTTTAAGCAAGCTCGCCATGTTGTTCTCAAAGGGAATCAAAGAGACGCGCACGCGCACCGCATCTTAGACCATACATAGATACATTCTTTCAGATTTGAAGGCGGCTCTAATTTAAAGTTATTTTTTGTTTTTCTGTATTAACTTTTTCTACAGCCGCAAAATGTTGTAATATTTAGAAGGCATAACGCCTCTTAGTCGAGCTTGTCGCAGCTCTAAGTCAGCATAACAATGCAAGACGAAATTGTAAACAAACTGAAATGTCTTTTGTAACACGATCTGTTTTAAAGGAAGGAACTATTGTTAATTAATTTTGTTCTGTAAAAACGTAGGATATATGTATTGTTTTTGTGAAATGTATTTCTTATAAGACTTAAGAACCCCCATGGCAGAGGCGTGCCCTGGAGAGTGAGTCTTCAATACCCATACATACATACCCCCTGATGATGACTGAGATTCTTCTGTGCGGATACTTGGGAGCATTCGCGAGCAGGGCACTACTACAAAGGTCTGCACATTTTCGATATACACGTGGGTCTTGGCGGACAAATCTCATCCATCAAGAAGCTTCCTGGGGCGATATTTGGCGCATTAAACGCTGGCTGGTTGACACTATTGATACTACCTACAACTACTACTAGTTTCCCTGAGCTTCTCATCCCATTATCTATCTCTGGGAGTCTTCGTTTCGTGGGCTTGACTATATTTCTGTTGGACTGCATTCTGGTGCCATTCGAATTCTCTCCGAGAGATTCAAACCATCCTGGAGGGCAAATTAAGCAAGCAGCAAGCATCATCTTCAAACAGCTGCTTAACTTCTAGTCCCGTGCTGCTTTCATCCAAAATGAATTCAACACTCTGGTCTCGCAGAGTTTCTTCCTGCTCCAAACTCGGATGCGGTATACGGTTCTTCGATTCTTCGATTGGAATGCTAAGCATTCCCTTGCATTACTGCCCTTGCCAGTACATCATCAACTTGTAAACAGTGAGGCCGATCATCAAAATACCAGGCACACCACCACTACTAACATTCAACCAAACATCACTCATCGACACGCACTTTTTCGACCTCAACCTCGTATGCTCGCACCATGGGACATTTGGCTGGTCTGGTTGTGTTTTCCCCCCGTACTGAGCTTGAGGACGACAACTGCCGTTTATCTTCAACTTCAACTCGGTTTCTTGGTATCTTCAATCGCAATCAATTTCGCTGCAGTTGTGGACCTCCTCGGGAATACGGGAATAGTTAGGAGCTTCGCTACGCACTGATCGCTTGGGGTCTGTTCGACTGTTCAACTATTGGCTCGAAAATTACGCTTCGTTCTATCCGCTCCACATTTGAGGCATTTTTCGTGAAGATTAGCTTTTGAGGATCGCAAGAGTTTGCAGGCTTTCATAAATGGACGTGACTACGCTTTGATTTAAATCCTTGAGATTTGACGGCGGCGAGGGAGATTCCAAGTATTGACTGCGGCGCGGGATACCACGAATGGACTGCAGCGTGGGAACACCTAGGCGTTTAATTAGGGATTTGGTTAGGAGGAGAGGGCGTTAGGGATCCTTTTTCACTCAAAAATGTATGGAAATGGACGGCGTGGGACTTCCTGGTGGTTTGACGGCGGCGTGGGAGCTCCTGAGAGCGGGACGGCTGCGCGGGAGATTTTCAAAGCTGGACGGCGGCGTGGGAGCTCTTCAAAGCACGACAGCGGCGTGGGAGTTCTTCAAACTTGGACGGCGGCGTGGGAGATCAGGCGACTCAGGCTGGACTGCGGCGATGGAGATCCTGTAAGTTGGGACTGCGGCGAGGGAGTTCCTGGGTTCCTGGACGGCGGCGTGGGAGTTCCTAGGGACTGGACGGCGGCGTGGGAGTTTCCGGGTCGGCGTGGGAGCCACATCGGGTGCGGTTTTTTTATATAAAATATCATCGTTGGTATTCAGGCCACCTTTATCAATCCTTGACTGGGGTTTTAACATTACTTATCTATCGTTCAAAGCTGATACCCTTATGCTGTACAAAAGTGGCAACTGCAAAAATTCGAGTCCTTCGCTACCTCTGATATTAACATGCAACCCCTTCTAAAACAAATTCATTTTGGAGCAAATCATTACCACACTCATATATATACATATTAGAAAGTTCCTGGAATACCGGAAAACGATGATCCAGATAATCGGCTCCTAAACTGATTATCTGTTGAATAAAAACGTGATTTTTGAAAAAATGAATACAATTGTTTTTATTTTTTGGTAATTGCAATCTTAAGGTCTTTCAGGTTTCTAGTTAAACAGGTTAGCATATGGATTGGAGCTATTTGGAGTCCTCGATGGAGCGCCCGGTTGGGCCTGTGGATAACTGAGGCCCGCTTGGTTGCCTCCGTATTGGCCAAGAGGGGCTAAAGGCACGCCACTGCCGCTGCTCGAGCCACTAGGCTGTGGGCTCTGCCAGCCGCCGCCTCCAAGTGGAGCCAACGGTGCAGAATTGCCAGGGCTTAGTGGACTATTGTGCACGCCTTGGATCGGTTGGCCGTCATGTTGCTGCTTTGGCCCGGGTTGTTGCCAGTTGTTGTCCACAGGACTCCAGCCAGCAGGAGCATTGTTGTGAGAGCCCGATCCTCCATTGATGCCGCTGGCAATGGGCTTTGGAGTTGTTTGGTGCTGTGAGCTGCCGGCACTAAGCCACGGATTATTACCGAAGTTACTTCCTGGGGAATTATTGCCAGTGCTAAGCCAAGGGTTGGGTCCTGAGCTGTTACTTCTTGCGCCCCAGCTAGCAGGGGCATTGCTGTGAGGGCCCGATTGTCCATTAATGCCGCTAGCCATAGGCCTTGGAGTTATTTGGTGCTGGGAGGTACCGCCGCTAAGCCAAGGGTTGTTGTTGGATCCTGAGCTGTTAGTCCTTGCGCCCCAGCCACCAAAATTACCTCCGTTATTGGCCGGAATGGAAACATTGTTTCGCGTTCCCCAATTATTGGAGTTGCCGCCATTATAGGTAGGACCAGGGGAATTATTGTGCGAACTCCAGCTATTGATGTTACCTCCGTTGTTGGCAGGAGCTGAGAAGTTATTCCGCGCTGCCCAACCATTAAAGACACCGCCGGGTCGAGGGGTAGTCGGACCCCTTTGGTCGCCACTATTCCAGTTATGGTTGCCTAAGGGTCTACCTGGTGCAGATGCATTATTAGCGTTGCTCCAGGTATTAAACGCGCCTCGGGACTGCGGCGTCGTTCGACTCCAAGTCTGATTGTTAGTCGACCAAGCGTGATTTTTATGGCCGGGCTGCTGTATCCATGTCTGATTGTAACGGCCTGGATTGTGAACACTACCCGCATTGTTGAAAGGGTTTGGCTGCGCATACCATGGTTGACTTGGGTTTATGGGATTGACGTATGGCCTTTGGTGGGTCTGTCCTGGGGTGTACCATGTCGAGTTCGTTCGACGATAGTTCTGGCGGACAACTCTGGATAGCGAGGTGACGCCATAAAGCAGGGCTAAGTAAACATGAAAGCGTGAGAAATTGAAAGAGCATACGAGACATACTTAGACTAAATAATAATGCCAACTTACTCAGTGCCACTGCCAATTGATAAGACCTTCTTAGCATCTGCATAGTTTTCTTAGCTTCCTTCCGCGATTTCCGTACTATGCGAGAACTTTGGAATATAAAACTAAACTGCCGTCGACAGCATCGTACGTCCAGTAGTGGACTTAGTTGGCTCTCAAAATGTAGCCGTTCTTATCAGCTTTGTTTTCGGAATTTACATTTTTTTTAAACTTCTACCACACATACATACATATGTATGTATGTACGAATGGCTGCATTTGTGTAGCTATTTTCTTACTGTTTTGCCTTGCTCATTTTACTTAATCGTTCGGGGAATTATGTACATACATACATATGTATATGTATGTATAAACAACAGCTTAGAAATCAGTCCCAGAGAGCAATTTGTTTACGCCCCTAAAATGTGTTATTGCAAAATCGAGATACATACATACATATGTATATAGTGGACCATATAGTATGTATACATACATACATATGTATGTAGATGCGTGTGAATGGAAGTGTACGGTACACCAACGCATCTAGACTGGACCATAAGATTCCAAGACCCTTAACTTCAAACATGACATCATGATTCAAAAGAGTTTATGTATACTTAGAAGATTCCAACAATATATGTATTTCACTACAGATCGCCCAAAATGTCTAGTTACACCCAAAGTTTTAGCGCTATTACCGATATTTTTACAGTGCAATTATGGAAAATATACTATATTAAACATATGATTTTGTAGGAGTGAGTAAAGGGTATTTAAGTGTTGACTCGTGACCACTCGCATTCCTTTCTTCCTCAGTCTCGGTTATCCGAAGTTTTTGGTCTTTCGGTTGCAGCTGTAGAAAATGAATTAATTTTTGTATTTGAATTGTTTTGTGTGTGAAAAACATACATATTATTAATGCTGTACTCGTTGATATGCAGCATAACCCCAATAATCCGGGCAATCAAAGCCTCAGCTAAGGATTTATTTGGTACAATTTTGGTAATCGCTACATCAGCCCCTCTGCATTGGAAACAGGCCTTCGCAGCTACCGCGACGCACAATCCGAATGTCTATTTACAAAATAAATAACCTTGTTATACGGAGGCGCAAACAAAAACATAGTTATCTGGAACCCGACTGTGACTCACCCGCTCCGCAGAAACGCGCGCAGTTGTACTTCTGCTCGTTCAAATACATTTGCATGTTGCTGGCGCAGATGGGATTGTACTCGGAGGTTGTGGGACAGCGGCCAAAGCAGTCAAGGAACTGAGGTGTTGGCGGTCTGGCTGTGGCAAACGGAACTATATTACCAATCACTGGCTCATTATTGACCAGCACCCAGCTTGATATTGGACGGGCCGTGGTTGTTTGTGTGCTTAGATCAGAAGTAGACGTTGACGGAGTCGTTTGGAATACCAGGAAGTCTTGGGCCGAGACTAGCCCGCTGGTAAGGCTGACAAGCAGCAGCAGCGCATTGTGCAGTTGGCCGGACATTGGTATTGCTTTGTATTGAACTATATGTAAGTATATGCACTCTCGAGGGTCGCTTTAGGACTGAGCTGACGCATAGGCCTCCAGGGTACTTATTTAAAGCCACTTGATCGGCTGTGGCGCATGTGTGTGTGTGAGCGAATCGAGTCTATGACGGGACAGGTTTTGAACGATTTGACGAGCAACGTCTGGTAATTCCAGTTCTAGTTGCTGATCAACAGCCGTACGAAATAAAGCTTACGCTCGCTCGTGATAACCCCAAGCAGTTGGAGGGAAGTTCCCTGATCGCTCGTTCAGAGAACGAAGTAAAACACAAAACACAGGTTGGATTGATATGATAGGTATGTATGTATTGGACTTGATTGTTAGCCTATTATGATGACATTATAAGGTGCTTCAGTAACGCGCGGTCCAGGCATCGAAAATGTCGGCGATTCGTATCGCATGGACTGCTCCAGCTTGCGATAATTTGGCGTTGATTGCACAAAGCCTATGTGGGCTGCAAAGAAGCACGGTCTGAGAATTGAGATTGTCGATAGAGGGCACTAGATGGAACCTACAGTTGGAGGTGCGCGGTACGCCTGTAACTGATGGGGCATGCGCGTCACTCTTGTCAGGTGGCGCACCAACCTGATATGGATTTATGCTCCGTTGCAAGCACTTGGCCATATGAGTTCCGCGACGTGGACGGCCGCATCGACAGGTTGCGACAAGGCTTTTGTGCATATCTGGTGAGACAAAGTAAGAATCGCCCTCGTTGTTGTGTTCAAAGGGACTCAACTCTGAAAATAAACAACCCATGCAGTGGCATCAAATAATAATCAAATGCAAATAAGCGGAGCGGCGATTCTTACGTTGTAGTATTAGCTTTTTCGAGAGCTGCTTGTCAATCTCGTCCTGATGGTAGAATCGATTTGTCTCAGCATCGGCCACTTTCGCCCAAGCATTGGGATAGTTTCGACGAGATCTGTGCTCCATACATACTTGCTCCTTACTGTTTTATTTTCGGTTTGTATGCATCACTTTTTTTAATTAAGATAATTTTTACTTACATTTTTCCAATTAACTTTGCAGGATCCATGGCTGCTTACCAGGATTCTTGTTTATTTGGCGCATACTATTTGCCCGAAAACAAAATGAAGTCACTGTTTAACAAAATTGCATTTACTTTTTGTCATAGCAACCACCACCTTGTTACTATAAACATACATCCAAAAAAGCATACAATCAATAAGCATAATTAAATTTGTTCTCATTATATGTAGTGGCTTCCGTTTGGCGCCACATTGGTAAACGCAGGAGGAGCTGTGATTTCATTAGGTCACATGCAATATATTCATATAACAGGCGAACATAAATGAGCAGCAAGTTGGCAAGCAAGCTGGCTGCATTTCAAATATAAACAAATGCGATCCGTACGGTTCTTTCCCACATGTAAACAAACTGGGGACCTCCAATTGGTTGCACTTCAAATGTAAACAAAAGCGATCCTTACGGTGCTTACCGAAATGTCAACAAAAATCAGCTGTTCAACTTAAATAATCAAGCAAGCATCCGCCTATTGCCCATTTATGTTTACCTGGTAGTTAATGCTGGTGGGTGTCGCTAAAAGACCGCCGGACTTGGTTGCAATTTAGATTTTTCGGTTTTTATATGAATTTTCAGGCATTTTATGTATTCTTATACCAGGCGAACATAAGTGAACAGCAAGTAAACAAGCTGGCTGAGCTTTAAATTGTGAATGTAAACAAAGTCCAATGGTTCACAATAGCTGCATGATCCAAACGGTGCATTGCGAAACGTAAACAAACATGGTCCTCCTATTGGTTGCATTTCAAATGTCAACAAATGCGATCCTAACGGTGCTTTCCCCAAATGTAAGCAAAAATCAGCTGTTCAATTTAAATATTCAAGCAATGCATCTGCCTACTGTTCATTTATGTTTGCCTGGTAGAAGACAATGGCGTTTAAATCTTTCGAAGGCAAACTTGGAATTTGTTTTTTCGGCTTTATTACTAGAATTTACTAGAACTATGTAGATTCAACCAACATTTGACGGCTCGCTTGATGACGTAATTCGAAGATTGCCGTCTCTTAAGCACATAGGTATGTAATTATTAAATCAAGTTAAGTGAATTTTGCAAAGTTAGTTGTTTAATTAAATTTTATTTAATTTTCTTAACTGCCCGAAGTCTGATTAAAAAGTCAACTGTTCATCTTTAATAAGTTCTTTTATTCTTGCCCTTAAGTCACATCCAATATTGAATTTAAATTTCTCTTTCGTAACTTGTTTGGATTTCATTTGCAATTTATGCATGCTATAGTGTGTATTGGTATAGTAATTTGGAAATCGTTAATAGTCAAGAATAGCGGGTACTGCGAGTACTTTATGATATTTAATTCACACTGTGTATTAATAAGTTGTTGTAGAAAAATGCAATTCCATAATACAAATACTCGTCGCAACTATTGTTTGCTTATACGAAACGTATGTATGTATTTATTCTCAAAAAGCTAAAATTAATTTAAACTTTAATATACTATATATTTATGCTCGCGTATTTAATATAATAATGTTTACATATACAAAGTTTAAATCTTTACACTTTAAGTGTTGCGCTATTTGTTTTAGTAATTAACTCTCTTTTTCGTATTTTATGGATATCATTTGATTTTGATTTTAATTATATTAAGTTAAAAAATGTTTTATTTGCAGACTTTAAAAGACGAACATGTAAAGGGATTTGAAAGTCGCGAAAATGACTTACATTTACATTTGCAATTGCATTTGACATACATAAATACTAAGTAATATGATTTGAAGTTAATTTACAATATACTCGTTAAACTTAATTATAACTTTTAAGAGTATGTGGCTGCATATTTCTGATGTTTATCTATTCATGTGTTTAGCTTGCTTTGAGTTTTTGTAGCGTAGATCGGCAATTTTAAAGATATAAGTATTTAATTATTATTATGAAATTTAGCATATTTTTTAAAAGGAATTTATGAATTTAGTCATTTTTTTATCCTTATGCTTATGCTTGGCTTACAATTAATCCCATTACAATGCAAAGTTTCGGGTGACAATGGATGAGTGGATATGACAAGCTATACAAATACAGGCTTTAGATATACAATATATATAAATATATACATATAAGATGCCGGCAGATTGCAGACCGACATGCGCATAAGTACCCCTATCGTAGACGGGGGTTCCAATTTACATTTCATTAGAAGCTAGACAACATACACATTACAATAATAAAACAATGCGAACGGAACGCGCACAACAAACGATTGGGGCTACAGTAACAGTGGTGTGGTAAAAATTTTCATTTCCTTACATTCATTCTTGTTACTCTTTCTTCCTATTTTTTGGATGTGCTACATATTATAATATACATAATATAATATACTTTTTGAGTTTTTGTTAAATATATTATTTTTTTGAAAAAATCAGTCCATAGTTTTGGTTTATCAGCGACGGCTTTTCGGCTCTCAGTTACTGTTGCTTCGTTTGCTTCGCCACCCGATTAGATTTTCATGAAAAACCTTTCTCACAATATGCCATTCGTGTAGTACTGATAGCCATCGTACAGTTTCGTCGATAAACTCTTCAAGGAGTCCTGCACCAGCTGTTCAACCTTCCTTTCCATTTCCTGTTCTGTTAAATTCATGTGAAAGCGTTTGCGGAGATTCTGTACGGTGCCGGAGCAGCCATTCTTGAAGCACGGCAGCTGAGCATCTGTGAGGGGAGAACTGAATTATCATCTGATATGCATGTATGTATGTATTTCGACTTACTGCTGCGCATGATTTCGACAAAGTTGATTATCCGATCCATATGCTTGCGGGCCGACATCATGCCGACAAGGAGCAGTCGATTGAATTCCCGCCAGTGCTCTGAGCCCGTGCCGCCCATGACATCGACAAATTCGGGTGTGAGTTTGAATGGCGATTGCTCGAAGCCTGTAAGGAGATGCAAGGATGTGATTACAATGAAGTCCTCTGTCTAGGCTTTTCATTATACGAGTAGTACCCACCCAAATTCTTTGGCGATATGCTCAATATGAAACCGAAATCAATATGTATTATGTGCCCATCTGAATGAAAGAGTATGTTGCCATTGTGTCTAAGGATAGAACGGGAATACATAAGAGTTGAAGGACTTGCATATTAGTCACAATTAGTTACCTGTCCTTGACTTGCAGCAAATACGAAATAAGGCAATAGGCCGCACAGCTCTGCACAAAGTTCTTTTGTGCACGACGGAAAGTCTCGCCAGTCGGTTTGCCATACTCATCGATGAAATAGTCGCGCAGAGATTTGTTGGAATTCTTCTTGATCTGATGCAGCGATACGGTGTTCAGTATGGGTTCAATTAGGCCGCTGTCGTTCGACAGGCAAACTATTTTGTAAGGTCGCACCCAGAGGTCTACGTGCTCCTCCTGCCAAATGATCTTGAACATCTGCAACGATCAACAAATAACTTTATAAAAGCTGTCCAACGGGAGGAATTTCGGAGGCGGTGCGTACCTGCAGCAATTGAGTCGCCATTAGCTCCTGGCGTAGGTCATCGCCACACTTGACAATAGCGGAAAGGAGGCGCCAGTTCGACAGATGACCATAGGGGGAGGACTCGCGAATCAGCTTCTCCTTTTCGTGCCAGGGCTCCTGTAATGGAAAATGCGCACAGATTAGGGGGGTCCCGGAAATGTATTGTAAAATGTTACACTAACCTTCAGGGCTGCCGCTGAGGGGTCTTCGGGATCATTGCTAAAGGATTTGGTGTTTTCGCAGCTCAAATTATTGCAGTGGCGAGTCCGTACATCGCCAATGTTGAAGACAACCGGTGGACCTATAACATGAAGGAATCCTGAATGAAGTATTTTTAAATGGATTGGCAAAGTTACCCACCTTGATCACGCGAGTCGCAGGAATCGAGCGACATTTGCGAAATGGCATCGCGTTCGCTGATCTTGCGCATGTTCAAGTACTGCGCCGTTATTTCGTCATCCTCCTGCGACCACACATCGTCTTCGTGCAGCTGCAGGCCACCCAGTGTGAGCACACAGTTGTGGGCGCTTGCGTCGCCACCTTCTTGGTGAGCTTCGCCAGCTGTCTTCTTGCGACGACAGCTGGATCCATGTTGGCTACTGCTGCAGCTCGAGGTTCGGCTGCAGCTTGGATGCGCATTCATGCAGACGCCCTCTAAGTGCTCCTCACTCTTTGTGTGTCGCAGTGAGGGCATCATCTTGGGTATCAGGGGCGAGGTGTATATGTCGGGCACCTCCACTACCTCCACGTAGATGATGTAGGGCGTCTTGTCCTTCGAGTTGAGCACTGCAGTCTTTTCCTCTGTGATGCGCACCACATGGTGCGGAATGTCCGAATAGAGCGGAAGCCAAACGCGCGCGGGCAAGTTCTTGTTTATCAGGTTAAGGAACATTCGAAGTGCCGAGGTTTTCTCCGCTTTCGAGGGCAGCGAAGTGAGGTTCCGACCCACATTCATCAGCGCTTTCATGAATTCCTTTTGTGGTGCCGTCTTTGGGGCTCCACAGCTGCAGAGCGTGCGCTGCCCCAGCAGTCCATTAACTTGGCCACGCACAGTCTCGAAACAAGTACAGCCGTTATCGAACGCCCGACCCGAGGCCAGATCGCCTAGGCAGAGCTTGGCCGGCGTTGTCGGCAGCGTTTGTGTTGTGTACGGCGGCTGCTGGTAAATGCGATGTGCTATGCTCAGTGGGTGTGGTGCGCGCGAGTCGCCACGAGTTAGGACTGTTGCATCGGACTGTGAACGATGATGTGTTTTCTTCACTGCTGCGGCAGCACCTGCACTTGCGGCGGCAGTCGACTTGAGCTCATTGCGAGCCTGAAGCTTCTGTTCCTTTTTCGAGAAGATCTCCTTCATGAGCGCCAGTTTGGACTTGCGTGCACTGCTTGTGTTACACAGCGGGTCCACCTGATAGTTGTAGGCCTCCAAAAGCCATAGGCATTTCAGCGAGAAGTCCACGGATTTACGGCAGCGGATTGTCAAATAGGGATCCAACACCTCCGCCAGTTCGTCCATTTGTATGTACATGACAATCAATTGCGGTATATAGAGATCGACCTCTTGATCGGGAAAGCTGAAAATCTTGTTGCCAATGAAGCTGAGCACACCGGGCTCCTTCGAATAGAAAAGATAATGCACGGCAAAGTGAATGTTGAAGACCGGCGACTCAAAGAAGCGCAAAAGACCGCTGGGACCTCGTTCGCTCTTCTGTAGCGCATCGCTAGCCTGCGAACGATCACTTATAAAGTACTTCACCACGCCAGGCACTGGCACCTTTAGCTTGTGCAATGAGCTGATGGAGGAGGACTTTGGCAGCGCCACTTCGGTGGTGGTCGCGTCGTTCTCCACAGAGCCCGGAAGTCGCAGATTAAGGGTGCGCTCTTTACTATTTACCGCCTCTGAAATCGTTGTTGTTGGCTCACAGACTGCTGTCGCTTTGGGATCCGGTACGGATGGTTCAGTAGGCGTCGCTACCGGCGTATTGACTGCAGAGTTGGCTGCAGCCGCTGCTGCTGCTGCCGCCGCGGCCTTTTTGCTTGAGTTGGAGGTGAGCAGGCTGAAGAACTCCTTCTTTTTGGAAATGTCCGTTGGCGATTTCACCTGATCCTGTGGTGTGGTGGGTGTGCCGCCTGGTGTGGTGGCTCCTGTCGCTGATCCTGCTGCAACATCCTGATCGCCGCACTTTTGTTTGGCCGCATTCTTCTTCTCATGATTCTCAATGATGCTCTGAGCTGTGCGGAAAATCGCATTCTTTGTGGCACCAAAGAAGTTCTTGAATAGCACCTGGTCGTTCTTGGTATTCTCCGTGGGTGTGGGTGTTGCCACAGGCGTGGCGGGAGTCGTTGCTGCTGTTACTGTTGGCGTGGATAACGCTGAATCTACTACATCCGCGCTTGGAAATGACGAGGCAATGGCAGTGTCCTCGTTCTCCTCATCGTCGTCGAGCACCGGTTCGATTTCGTTGGGCGCCGTGCCACGTTCTATGTTGAGAGCCGCCTGGGACATATTCATCACTCGATAGCGCAGGCGCTCATCAACTGAACGCGGCTGCTGCTGCAGTGATTGTGGTTGTTGCTGCTCCAGCATCGCCAGCTTGGCCTGCTCCTGAGCGCGCTGCTGCTGCTGCCTTTGCTTGCGTGAAGGTCGAAGCGTGCGACAGTCAATCTCATTGGAGGAGGCATGGGGCGGATAAAAGCCCAAATCCGATTGGATTTGATTGTAGTCCTCGTCCATGGACGTTGTGTCCATCATATCGATGCACTCCTCCTCTACATCTGCATCAGCATCCATTTCACCCGAGTCGAGCGATTCATGTGAGTGGCATATGCGATTCAGTGAGATTTGATCCGAGTCCGAGCCACAGATGATGCCTGCAGAGGAAGTGTAAGCAAAACAAAAATGAAGTTTTGCAGCTAATAAGATTTAACTACAAATATATATACTATACGAAGCCGTCATTTCGGTTGTAGCCAAAGAAGAACTGCAACAATAGTATTTATTGATTGATTGACACCTACCCGAGTCGTCTGATCCGAGACTGGTGAGATCCTCGCGCTTTTTGCTACTGCCAGCGCTGCTGCAGCTGTTGTTGCTGCTTGCCGTGTTACTGTTGTTGCCGTCACCAACGATTCCGACTACGCCACCAATGACGCTGGCAATGTCCTGGACGCGCGTAGACGTCGACTCGCTGGACTTGGGTCTCGTCCGCAAAGTGGGGCAGGAATCGACTGTTGCACGAGATGGATTGGATGATGAGAAATCTTAGTTTTCGGACGATATACGACCTAAGCTGTAAGTACTCACCAACCACACTTGGTGTATTCTGCAAATGCAGCGCGTGCTGCTGCTGATGAATTCCAGCCGTAGCCGACGGAGGTGTTACCAATGCTCCTATCCCTGGCCCTGGTATGGGTGTCGCCGCCGATGTCAAGGATGGCGTGGGCGTCGTCGTGGATAGCGCGGCTGTTACACTGGCCGCTGTTGTTACAATCTTCGAGCACATATTTGTGCCCAGTATTGACGATGGGGAGCAGAATGTATTCTCGCTCTCGGCATTGGGCGAGGAGACTTCAACCTGAGTGGGCGTAAAAAAATGACTATTTTTACTTGCTCTATTTAGATTTTACATACATACATATGTACATATGTCTGTATAGTTAGGTAAAGTAAATGGCACTAGGTGGGTAAGCTGTTTTGCGTCAATTGGAATTGGTTGGGAATGTGATAAACCGCAAAACTAACTATATCAGGCGCAGAAGGCAAATAAATGACAACAGCAGAAAACACTCAATGAGTTGGCTCTAGCACACGCACACACCTACACACTCGGGGAAAGCTCGAAGCTGCATTGCAACAACTGTTATGGTATGCAAAAGCTTTTCTCGCATACTGCATGTGGGTGCGAGTGAGTATGCTGTTCTGTGCATTGTTGTTTCACTGGCTCTCTCGCTCTCACGGCTCTGATAACCAGAAACGTACACAAATATTTGGCACACAAGCAAAAGAGTGTACATCGCAAAATGTGGCGATAAAAATATACAAATAAATAAATAGTCCCATATGTACATACATATGTAGATAATATAACAAATAAATAGAAACTTTCCAAGCTCTCGAGTGCCGAACAACCTTTTGTTTTTGTAGTTTGCACTCAAATTGTATTAATGCAAGGTTGTCAGGTGGGGGTGATTCGGGGGTGGCGCCAGACGCCATTATTACTCACCTCTGGTATGCGCTGCAGGGCACTGTCGAGGCTGCGATTCCGATGATGTTGTGTGTGATTGATGCGTGTATTGGTCACTTGGGAAACTGGAGGTAGCAATATGCCCATGGATCTGCAATAGAAGAGTTGTGAAAATCGTCAGTACACATGCCCAAGCAAACACACTTGTATGCCACCACACAGTACTCGGGAGTATCGAGTAAAAAATCAATTCAGCCACTAACGGGATGTCAGCAAACAAACCAGCAAAGTATAAACGCAATTTCTGCAATTTATTTTGATTTTTAATACATTTTGGAAACAGCTGTTCACAGATGTTACATTTAAATTGTGCAGTGTCACCAAACAAAATTAGTTCAATACGTTCACACTATTTGTAATAAAGAAATCAACCCGAAGGCTGACTTAGACATGACTAATAATCCATTAAAAGTTGAAATCACTTGCAGGAAATCCATTAGAAGGGGACTCCTGCTCGGTGCTTAATAATTTTCTATGGATCAAATATGTATACACAAATAATTTGCACTACTAAAACAGCTGTTCAGAAAAATCAAATCATAAACGTGAAGCAAAATTGCTCATTGTCTTGTGTTTTGCGATTTGATGTATGCAGATTAAGCGGAAACAGCATTCAGGAAGAACTTTAGTATGTTTTTGATTTTGCCCAACCCCGACACATCACTCTCACAAGTTGGTGGCACTACTTAATTACATTTTCACAGTGCCTTTGCTAACAATGACGCCATAGTATCTGCAATTAGTGCACTCCTAATTAGACGGTCTATCAACTTAAATATTAACAGTATGTATACGATTACAGCAGCAGTGGAATGATAATTTAAAACTAAAAACCCCAACTTAAAAAACAATGCGCCCGAAACACAAACTTGCCAGCGAAAAAAGCTACGCGACGCAAACGGCCAACAAAAGCTGACTACTGCGAGTGCAACTTTGAACGCCGTTCGTTTGCCAATCTCACTCAACTAGGCGAGTAAGAACCAAAGCTTTAGAGCGTGTGAGCGCTGTGTTTATCAGTGAGTCTTCTTCTTCTTGTGACGTTACTGTGTGGCAAATTTTGAGTGTGTTTGGTCGCAACAGGCTTTGCCGTTGCCATTGTTGTTCAAGCCAGGCGTGTGAAGGGGGGTAGGTGTAGGGTCAAACAAGTTTCTCGAGCACCAGGTTGCGGTCTGACAACATAAGAATGCACATGTATGTGTGTTTTCTCTCTTTAATAACACTATATGCATTGCATTAGGTTTTCGCTGTTTATTTTTGTATCTGCCTTCAATCATATGCGTTCTTTTGCAATATTTTGCGTCATTAAAGCGGTGTAGTCTACCTGCGTGAGTGTATCGTGAGTGTAAACTATCACGATTCACAGCTGTAGTCGGCAAGTAAGCCAACGTACTTGTAAGAAATGTTTCCGTAGCTTAAAAATGTTTGTTTTCTGTGCCTACTGAGAAATTTTTTGTTGATATGTGAAATTTCGAAAATGTCAAATATGCTAAAAACCAGTGTGCGATGCCAATTTCCACATTGAATGTTCCTTGTTTAATTGCTCGTATACTTATTTTAATTCTCATGCAAATGAGGTGTTTGTGTGAATTTAATTCATGCAATTGTCATTATGCCATGTTAACATATTGGAAAATATTGACCATTAAATTGCAGAATAAGTAGCAGCGTAACGAGCAAAAATTTCAACTTTAACATTTCGCACGGTCGGAATTTAAAATAAGGTAGAAATACACTTTAAAAGCGGAGCTGGTAAAAAAGTAAACAACCAAACAAATCCAAATCCCTAGAAAAGTAAAAGCAAGTACATTTGCAGTATATTGTTTTGTTAAAGCCAAATCAAAAAAGTAAAAACACGAAAAACCTGACAACGTTAGTATTATCTCCAGCTGCGAGTATTTATTGCGGTATGCGTACAGCGGTTGACTTATCGGTGAACCATATACATAGCATGGCATAATGCACGTGGCAGCGAGCAGTAAGCTTAACTAACACCTGTGACGGCCTTGAGCCAAGTTCATTAAACGCCCTACAGGTAGCAAACGGTACGGCCAAGTGCCCAGAAAATGAGCAAAGGGTTAACGGTTGCGGAATTGAGCTTTCACACTCTCTTCTTACGTCATACATTACTGTTTCGTTGGGGTTGTGCTTGTCGCTCCAAAAAATTTGTAAGCAACATCGCCGTAACCATCGCTGAAGTTTTGTTTTGCAGATGTTGGCCATGTTTAGGAAGCATCATACATTTGATTTAGTACATGAAATCGGTTAAAAATAGAGTGAACATTTAGAGTACAAATTAAAGTTTTTTGAAGTTGGAAACCCGAATTTCTTTTCCACAATCAACCAAACTATCTACACTAGTTTTAAGTTTTTAGTGTCATACATTTATTTATTAATTTTTGAAATAGACTGTTGTTTTTTGGCATTGGGGTGTGTCTGCACAACGGAAACCACTCGCATAGTTGCTTCTTCGAAAGGTTAAATTCGACGACAATTGCAGACTAGTACGTGAGCGTATGTATACTGGTACATGCATATGTATTTGTATGGCAATAGAATAATATTTGGCTAAACATCTGCAGACCTTGTTGACGTCACAGGCAGCCGTTTATTTGGCTTTCAAGGCAACAAAAATTCCAGCCGAACAACAGAATGAAAATTTACATTTAAACGAACAAGCATGCAACTCGGTACGCTTCGTCGTCCAATTTATATAAAAACGCAAATATTTGGTTGGTTTTTTATTTTTATTTTTCATAAGCGCAAAGTGCAATAAATTTTATAAACTGCACGAACGCGCGCATACACACATTTGCACAGTGTGTTAGTGTGTGTATAGTATACACACAGTTAAAGTTTATCAGCATCAGGCAGCTGTATATAAGTATGTACATACATATGTACATTTGCATGATCGAGGGGGCCTGAAAAGCAGCCAGGCGATGAGGTTGCACAGCTTCCATCCCATCCACCTCCTCCCTCCCCCTTCACGACCGACGCCAGCAATCCAAGCACTGGCGAGTTGAAACCGCAGCTGACGAAATAAATTGCCGTCAAAGTCGACATCAACGCTTTATTGCTCTTCGTTGTTGTTGCTGTTGTTGCAATTATTGTGCCGGCTCAATTCAATTTAATAAAATTCCATTTTCATATTTATGCATACAGGCTTTTTTGCGAGTAACGAAATTATAAACTTCGAACGATGTTCGCGCTTGCAGCAACAACAACAACAACAACAAAAACAATGTGTTTTTATATTCACCGATTTGATGATTCGCATACAAACCGCTAAACATGTGTACATATAGATTTTGTCTTTATTTGATGGTCATTTAATACTCGCTGAATAATATTACTTGTCATTTGCATTCCTTTGAGATTAGGCTGCATTTGTTTTAATTTCGCTTTTCGTCTCTAAGCCTCGCGCCTTATTTGTATTCCCATTTTTCGTTTGTAGCTATTTGGCGCTGCGCAAATTATACTACAAATTCAATTAATTTTGTGCATGCGAAAGTTGCGGCAAAAACAAAAACGAGAAGGAACGAAGAGGCACAGCAAGGCAACTGGGGAAATGGGTGCAACCGTGGCGAAAAATAAATATTACTCATACGCCATGCTGCACATGGGAAGGAAAGCGCATAATACAATTAATGCTAAAAATAATAATAGATACAAAAATCAATATTGGTTTCTAGAAAGCGCGAAAGCTAATTTTAAAAAATCTCCTGACTGCTGAGCAACAATGACTAAGCAATGGGAGACATATTGGTGGTCACCTTTTATGAATATCGGAGGAAGCTCAGATTCTAAAATGCTAGCGAAACAAAAGCTGAAAGACAAACAACTGAAGTGAATGCACGGAAAAAGGTGTACACTGATAGAAAAATCTGGATTCTTAGATTCAATTTAGTGCAGTATCCGTAATTTATTAAATAAGATTTGCCAATCAGGAGTTAAAAGTATCTTAATTGAATTATATAAATTGGATCAACAAGACAGATTTGTTTTTATACTTATCAATTAATTTGGTATCGATATATAAGGTTATTGATCTAAGTAGTAGTCGGAAGAAAACATTGCTGTATCAACTGTTACTCGAAAATATACAAATTAAATTGTTGCTGAGCATGAAGTTAATTCAAAAACGGGTATGTCCATGCTTTAGCCTGTACGTCGAAGCCTATACAGTGAAAACTCCCGTAATGGACACCTCTTTTACACGTTTTCTAAAACATACGATCGGTGTATAAAGTATTTAAGTATCTCCTTAAGCTGACACTTCTCTTGGGCCGACAGATGCAAATGTACATTTCGGCTATATATGATTTGAAAGCGGATGCCAATTAAGCTTGCACTACCTTATTACAAACCCTGTTTTGAAATGCTTTAAAAACATAATCTTTTCGATCGATCCTATGACAGCTGTGGGATATACACTCAGGCGATAACATTTTAAAAGCTGGTTTACACAAAACCAGATTCGACTGAGGTCATCAGTCTCTGAAATATTAGAAATTGGTGTTTCTTGCTCGGAAAAATTACATTTTTAGCAGTGCAGCACATCAACCAGATGCTCCCTGCATTATCTTTTAAAAGCTAACAAAAAGGTGCAGACAGTGTAATGTGAATGAATTGAACAAAGCCGACAAAAAAAGTTTACTGTATATATGTATATTCGAGTACCCAGAACATATTCCTGTATGCTCTGGCGCACTTCCTTTGTTTGTGTTATGGCTGGACTTGAAGGGAAAATAGCTTAAATGCCAACGTCAGCCTGAAAGTCCAAGGCAAACAACATTTTGGTCGGATGATGGGATGGGAGTTGGGAGCTTTGGACAAAGACTTTCGAGCAACAAGACGCATATATTTTCATTTATATTTTGGCACAAGAAGTCTCAGCTGTGGCCATGCCAGCCATCGTACGATTTTGTCGCCTGTCGAGCGTGAAAATGAACAAATAACTAACAATAAAAGACTGGTATGTAATATACTTGTATGTATCTATATAAATACATATCAACTATTTTAAAAGGCTTGTCCACATTGGAATCTATTGAAGTGGAATTTATATGAACGTAGAGCATAAATTTAGAT